AACAGATGCGGTAGTAAAAGGACCAGAGAAGGGAGTGGGAGGACGTGATGTCGTAGAAAAAATGCCAGATGTTGTACTGGGGGAGCTGGAGATGGAAGTGTAAGATGTGGTAGTAAAAGTGCCAGATGGGGTACTAAGAGGGGTAGATGTAGACTGTGGGACAGATGTTGTATTAAACGGGCTAGTTGTAGTCACAAGAGAAGGAGATGTAGTTGTCAAACTGCCAGATGTGGTGCTGGGGGAACCAGAGGTGGAAGTGCCAAATGTTTTAGTAAGAGGGGTAGATGTGATAGTAAGGGGGTCAGATGTGGTAGGAAATTGAGGGGATGTGGTGGAAGGTGAGACAGAGTAGGTGGCAAATGAGCCAGATGTGGTACTCAGAGGTATGAATGTGGAGGCTTGTGGATCAGATGTGACAGCAGAAGATACAGATGTTGAATCTGGAGGGGCAGCTGTGGTTGTCAGAGGAGCAGAAGTACTTGAAATTGGTGGTGGACACTTGCAGTTATTGTTTACAGCATTCAGATGAGGGTAAAACTGAGTGACTGTTGTGTCAAGAGGACATTTTGATCCAGGAAATGCTTCAAACTGCCCTCCCAGTTTCCTGTGGAGTTCTGCCAGAGTTCTAGTCTGCAGATGTGGGTTGTGAGGTGGAATGTTCTCACCCCAGTGTGCACTTGCTAGCCACTTCATCTGACTGTGGCTGTAGCAGCAGAATGCCGACCAGAGCATTAAAGGAATATTGACCTTGTTGTTGAGGATGTTCCTGGGGCTGGGCTCTGCTCCAATTACTACAAATCCTTCTTTGTTTCCATTGTTGTTGATGCAGTGTTCATTCAGAACACATTTGATGCAGCTCTCCATATTGCTCCAGCTGATCTTGTTGAACTTGCCTTCTTGTGGAACAATGTTTGTCAGAGTAAAGGTAGACCTTCTTTCAACTTCAGTAAAGCCATAAGAGCTTGGAAATAAATGCCCTCTATCGAACACTCTTTGGTTTTTGTAATCAGAGTTTCCAGCCTGGTAGTTGTAGGTGACATGATCGTTTGCTGTCTCCATGTTGTCATTGCTGCGTATGTCCTCAAGCTGTAACAATTGAGAGGCTAAATTACTGCAGGGTTGTAGCACAGTCTAACATTTAAACATATTCTAGAGCACCCTAAAAATAAAAATACAAAAATGTAAATATGCATGATATTTAAACACAGTAATGGGCAAGCTGTCTTTATCTTAGCAGATTTTTCATGTTCTTATTTTGCAAAGTGATCCTGTTTTGACACTAGTTAAATAAATGTAACTCCATTTTTACCAAACCCAGTCAATGCAGGCATCAAGACCACTGTTGTTTAGGGAAATACACGCAACAGTTTTCTACAGGCAGCGATATTAGAGTTCAGTAGAAAGCACTTGTAGAGCGCTTGATAAATAATGAGCAGGATCATCAAAGCAGTTCAGACTCGGCTAGTAGAGTTACAACTCGATGAGACAGCTGTCGATCAGTTATGATTGTGGCAGCATAGTCAGCACTATCAGCATTACAGTAAATCTCGCCTCCCTGTATCATTACAGCTTAATTCAGTGTAAGAGGATGCATTTCAGCTAACTCGTGACTAATTTGCAAATAAAATGTGTCTACCTATCTTACAAAAGCTGCGGGTGTGGATGTATCAGTGCCACACCTGTAAATAAATCCATCAAAAGTACAGTATTGTTGTGTTCTGTCAAAAAGCGCACCTGTGGTTCAATGTTCCAAATGCTGCGTGGTCTGCCGCTGCTGTGGCCTCTGTACTTGGAAGCAGAAAACACTGGAATCTTGTTGTGGGTGTCATAAAGCGTCACAAACGTTCTGGTGTTCTTAAACGTCTGGCAAATGGGTCTGTATCTGCTCTGATTCAGGATGTTCCCTCCCTCCAAGATTCCCGGGACACGTGGCGGAGTTTGGCCGAGAAAAAAGTCTGCACAGTCTGTCATCAACTTCACCACTTCAGTTTCTGTGGGAATGATGACCAGAAGGAGGAGAGCAGCGAGGGCCAGGAGGCGCTGCGCCTCCAGTGATGCCATCTCGCAGGAAGAACTGCATCATCGAATCAGAGAGAACGGAAAAACATGCCATCATCACACTGAAGCTACGTCTGCTGTTGATTTCTTGAGCCACAGTGAGAATCTGACTGTGGAATGTCAAGTTCTAATATGTTCTTGACTGATGATCTGAAGATCCATCATAATAACACCGGTTCAGTCACACTTTATGTATAAATTATTTCTGTTACAAGGTGAAGGCTTTCACTTAAAGAAAGAAAAACTTATTGACTTTTCCTTGTGAAGCCTGTTCCATGTTCATCACTGCATCATTTATTCAAAACTAGTTGCATCCTTAAAAAAGATGTTTGCAAAATTTAATAAAGTACATTCACATTTTCTTTTCTTTTTTTTTTAACTTGATGGATTTTGATCAATTTAAGGTTAAAAAATGTGGTGAAATCGTTTTTTGTACTTTCAATAATGACGGGAGAATAAAAAAAATGCATCATGTTAAGTTTCCCACATAGATACCGGATACTTCTGGATAATGTATTCGCATCTTTGCGAGAAAGACCAAGTAACTCTACAAAAATGAGAAGCCGAAAGACTTCAAAGAGATGGAGAATTGCAGCACAGAGATGCAAAATCACCAAAATTAAATGCAAACAAGCACAAAGAGATGCAACGCCACAGAAATGAGACACAAACAGCCCAAACAATGAGGAAAAAGACATGCGAAACAGATCAGCAATGATCATAAAAACACAGAAAATGGTCACAAAGACAAAGAAATATCAAACATTTGTTGGTGCTACCAGCAGGTAGACACATCAGGAATGTTACTTCATGTGCAGACAGGACTTGGTCAGAGGTTTTTTTAATTTTCATCTGTCTAATTGTATTTAAGCTGTATGAAAACTTTTAGGAAAATGCTTAATAATGGAGCTCTGACACACAAAAGGACTTTGTGTTCTGAGATTTAAATATTTGTTAGATGACGATGAAGTATAAAAATAAACATGACAGCTGTGCCATCTGTAATTTCTGCAAATTTGTGTTTAAATAAATTACAAGTACCAACATAAATAAAACCAACAGAAAAACTGAAAGACATCTTGCCTCCCCTCAGCCTTCCCGACAATCAGATGAAGACGTGTCCTCAGGATCGCACAGCAGAAGAAACAAGACGGTCAGCCCTTAAATATGAACTGATCCTGAGGGGACGTCTGATGTATTTACTGTCAGCAGCAGTTTTACTCTTTGTTAACCTCCTCAGTCAGAGTTAAGTGGATCATTTCTGAAAAGCAGCGTTCGTAGAAATCTCTTGTTCCTCTTTTCTGTGACCAGCTTTTAAGGTCATGGATGTGACAGCCATCGCCCCGTGGAAACACAATCCTCTTCCAACATTTGTGTCTGTAAAACTTACATCCTGCATTATTGTAAAAAAAAAAAAAATTGTGCCTTTAATAATGATGGTGGAATAACAAGAATACTCAAAATGACGTTTAGTTTTCTACAAAGACAGCGGATACTTTCTGATAATTGCATCTATGTGAGAAAGACCTGTTAACTTTACTGTCTTCACTGCCGATAATACATATCCCAGGAAGAGACACAAAAAAAAGCCAAATTGAGACAGAAAATAGATGTCAAATAGCCACAAAGAGATACAAGGGCAACCAAAGATGCAAAATGACCAAAATGAGAGATAAAGAAACCATAAAGACATACAAAACAAGCACAAAGACACAGAGTAGCCATTAAAAAACTGGCAAAATTACCAAAATGAGCCAAAAAAAAGTCTAAAATGTGACACAAATGAGATGTAAATCTACTAAAAGGAGAGAAATGACTTCAAAGAGATAGAAAATGGCCGTAAAGAAATGTAAAAATATAACCACAATGAGACAAATGTGACAAAAAGAGGAACAAAACGACCGTATTGGACAAAAAATACAATAAAAGAGACATATTGTGGCCACAAACACAGGCAAAATGATCAAAATAATCAAAGTGTGGCACAAATAAGATGCAAAACCAGAAAAATGAGAAGCAGAAATACCCCAAAAAGATGGACAGTTGCAACACAGAGATGCAAAACAATCAAAACTGAAAACTGCAAACAGCCACAAAGAGATGCAAAACCATCAAAATGAGATACAAAGAGGACCAAAGAGACCCAGCATGGCTATAACGATGAGCAAAACAATTTAAAAGATCAAAATGGGACAAAAAAATGACCAGAAAGAGAGGCAACAAAGAGACATAGCATCACCAAAAAGAGACCAAACAAGGTCCAACAGTGGCCGTGAAGACGAGTAAAATGGCCACCAAACGAGAAAAACGCAGCAAGAAGATGCAACACAACCAAAAATGAGAAAAACAATCCTGGAGAGATAAAACAGAAATAAAAAAAACATCAACGAGAGACGACTGAAACCAACTGCAAGCAATCCCAAAGAGATGCAAAACGATTTAAACGACTTAAAGCGACAGAGACTGGCCACAAATACAGTGAAAATGACCAAAATAAGCCACTAATTAGATGCCAAACCACCAAAATGATACGCAAAATGACCCAGAAGAGATGAAGAATGGCTACAAAGAGATGCAAAGTCACCAATATGGTACAAAACAAGCTCTCATAAAGAGACAACATGACCAGTATGAGACAAAAACCTCAAACACAAAGACGCAAATGACCGCAATGAAATGAAAACAACCATAAAGAGATGCAAAATGCGAGACACAAAAGCAAACAAAGAAAGACATAATGATCATAAAGACACCGATCAGCCACAAGGAGAGGCAAAGCAAAATGGCCAGAGGCAAACAGTCCCAGACAGATGCAAAAACCATCAAAACGAGACACTTCATGATCAAAATGGAGAAAGAAATGATCAGAAAGAGGTGGGAGATGACCAAACAATGCCTACAGACAGACGAGATGATCCAACCATAGACATGTAAAATGACCACAGAGACAGAAAAGGCAGCAAAACAACCAAAGAGATACAAAATCACCTTCAAGAGACACAGCATGGTGCAAAACGACCAAAATTTAATGCAAACAACCACAAAGAGAGGCAAAGCCCTACAAAAATACGACAGGAAGGGACTAAAAACACCTGAAAGGAGACACAAAACAACCTCAAGAGACGCAAAATGACTGCAAAGAATTCATAGAACAGGATGATAAAGGATGATAGAACCATCGATGATAAAGGATAAATAACCACAAAATGATGCAGGTATTTACAAGATACACATTTAAAGACAAAAAAAAACCAACAACAACAACCACAATCTGCATTACCTTCAGTCGGGGAGTTCTGCTGCCCTTTGGGGCCTTTCACACAGTGAGTGTTATGAAGAAGTTATGACGTTGGTAGAGTTCATTCAGCCCCGAGTCGGTCTGCAAGGCAACGTACTGCTTTACAAAGATAATTACAGAGAGTTTAGAAACAGGACTGATGATTAAAAACTAAAAACAAGACAGAAATACAAAGAAATAAGTGAATTTACAAACCAATCCTAATACGAACACCAAAGACAAAAGCCAGAATGTGGTCAGAGGAGGGACGAAGGAAAGGAGAAGCGCTCCATCACTCCTGGTTCAGCAAAGCAGTAAGTGAAAACCAAACTGATGCGCTTCTATTTTACTGTTAAAACAAGAATGTTTCTCAGAACTGCCATAAAAAAAAAAAACACAAGATCATGCTGAGGCTGGAGGGATTTTTGGGAAATATAAACTGTAGCGTCTTTATTTAGGAGAAACAAAAGAGCATCATTACATCCTTTAGAAACTGCTGACTTTTCTGATATGCTCGGAACAGACGCTCACAGATAAAAGGTGGGAAACAAATTCAACAAAGAGATCCGGTGTTCAGAATGTGACACCTGGACGGAGGTAAAACTGACCTGGAGTCAGTTTTTAACAGAACTCAGATGTGCTTTTCTTCCTAAAATGTCATGAGTCTATCTGCTGCACTGATGAAGCTCTGAGGCTCACAAAGGATGAAGCATGAAGTGCTGCTTGAACCACAGTGACCGAGCAGGAAACAGCAAACAGACGTCCAGAGGAAAGACCTCGGCAGCACAGCAGAGACCAGAGACAATAACAACACAGCAGTCAACAGTGTTGGTGTAATTCCTCTCCCTGCCAGAAGGGGGAGACTAAAGATTTAAGAAAAACGCTATAAAGGTTTATTATCATCACATTCCTTCTGTCGCTTACATTCTCTCTTCCAAACATGTCAGAACACCGACTTCCTGTCCGTCACATTGTGTTGTCTGTAACCTGCAGTGCTTCTGAAGCTGATATTTGCACAAATAGACAAAGTTTGAATTTTACTCGAGACACTGAATGACAGACGAGGCGACAATGTGATCTACAAAACAGGAAAGCAAATACTACTTCAAATGAAATGGCAAATGTTTGAACTTTAAAAGCAAAAAACATTTTCAAAAACCTGAATGGCGACGATCAAAACACATGCATGACCAACGCGTTGTGTGTTTTCTTTTTTTTTACAAAAACAAGACCGATGCAGTCGAGCGAATACAAGCTCCACTTTGTAGAAAACTGACATCAGAAGAAGCCTACGTTACACGACTTTACCCTGACAGACACAGTGTTAGTAGAAAGCTCTGTACACAAACTCACACGTTTTTATCAACACATTTTTACAGAACAGTGCAAAATTAGAATTTATACGACAGTAACAATAGTATTAAAAAGCACCCTGCTGAGTATCTGTGGAGAGTATTGGTCCGTCTACATTCAGGAGGAAACATGCTACCTTTTACTACTGGACATTCACCAACTACTCTTTAAGTTCATATCTTTACAAACCAAACAGGTTTAGTGTTTATTTAATACGTTGATGCACACGAGGCCAAAGTGGTTCGTTAGCTGATTAGCTGCATTTTAATGACCTGACCTGAATATTTCATAGTTTTGGATTCTCAGATGTGAAGATGGGTTGCTCTTCTGTTGAACTGTCTGTAATAATTTGGCTGTTTGAAGCACTGATCAAATCAATCAATCAAGAAAATAATCACACAATTGATCCATTAAGAAAATAAACAGTTATGTCGTTTTATAAAATATAGCGTTTTTACACATTTATATTTACATAAAAACAATCTAAATAAGCTTCATCGACTAAATATAGCAAATGCTGGTTCACATTTATTCATCACCAACAACAGCATAATTAGATATTATACCGTTTTGTATTATATCTGTTTTAATTATTCTATAAAGTCTGTGTGCATTTTATTGAACTTCACTGTTTTACTCAGCTACATTTTAATCAGCTGTATTCTGTATTATTGTACTATTAATACCGTAATAATAATATCCCATTATCTTTTACTCATAATTATTAATACAGCTTTAATTAAAATAGTTTTGATCCGATTTTAAAGGATGAACAGCTTCAAGTTCAAAGACCAGAAACCTGAATGATTTAACTGCACAGAGAAAAGGTTTTACAAATACAAGCACCTGTTTGAAATGAACAATGTATGAGTTTTTTTTTTTTTAATGGTTTTACAAAGAATTGAGTTATAAGCAGCAGAGTCGCTCTCAGGATGAGGAAACTGTCGGTGCTAATCTGGCTCACTGCAACGTTTTCTCACTGATAATAAAATAGCTTAGAAGTGTTTTGTTTTGGTTTTTTTCTACTTTAAAAAAGAGCAAAAACAAGAAGGATTTGTTTTTGTTGATAAACGGCCTCATGGAAGTGGAACTAAGAGATGCTCACTTCTCCCAAATTCATCTCTGGTTTAGCAGATTTCACATTTTAGTTTATCAGTAATTACGAGTACAGATATCAAGGCCAGAGTTTATAGTCATGATATGTTTAATGTCACTCTGACCAAACTTTGGGTTTTATTCGGACGTCTCCTCGCTGCACTCTCTCTTCACCTCCTTAGATCAGCGGCTCCAAGTCTTCGTGGAGGTCTTCCAGGACAGTGTATCGGTTGCTAGACGTGATCGAGGTGGTGTTTCTACGCACGGTTTTGGCTCCGCTTGGCCGAGGCCGAGGCTCAGACAAACTCCTGGAACGGATGCGATGCTTCTCCTCTGAGGTGGACGGAGCGGCAGCACTGCTCGTCGGAAGAGAAGGACAGCTGTCATGAGTGCTTGTTTTTGTCGGGGGACCAGGCGGCGGGCTCTGGCGTGAAGCGACAGGGTTTCGATCCTTGCTCCTGGTCGCGGACTTGTCAGATTTTGGACTGTTGAGGGTGGTTGAGGCTGCTGGTTTTGGGTTGCTGTCTTGGTCAGTCCCTCTTGGTGGTTGGCTAACGAGATTTGAGACGTCTGGTGAGGATGTGGAGTCGGCTATAGACGGGCTGTTCTGCGAGACGGGATTCTGTCTCGATTTGAGGCCTTTCAGCTCGTCAGCCTGTCGGCGGATGATCCTGTCTTTTTCCTGAATTTTAGACTTCAGCTCTCTATTGGCTCTCAGCAGCTCCTCGTATGTGAGGGTTTCAGCCTGGTTCCCTTGGCGGTTCGCTCCTGCAGCTCTGCTTGCTGTATAACGGCCGTTGGACCGTGGCGGCTCTGACACTTTTTGTTTTTTCCCTGTGAATACAGAAAACATTCCGTTCAAACTTGCTTCTTTCCTGACGGTTCACTGTTCTCACAAACAATAGAAATGTTTCCTCCTCGTCTGTGTTCATTTACCTTTGTGGTGGTGTGTGTTTAAACTCTCTACTTCTTGTGCTGTATACATTTAAACCTGTAAGTTACAGCATTTGCTGTTAACGTGCTGCAGCAGCTAAAGCCGTGATCACACCAGGCTCCAAATTCAGTTTCTCCAACGGAGATTAGCAGAGCTGCTTGTGGAGGAAAAGTAAAGCTGCGTCCTAAACCACATACTTTCGCTTTTTTCTTTAAGCGTGTTTAATGTTTGACCATCGCAGTCTGTGGTGATGGAGACAGAAACAAGAAGTCCAACATGGAGGAGGCCTCTGCAGCTGATCAGCTGTGCTGCACCACCTGCAATGCTCTGCAGTTAGTTGGAAACAAGGGTCGAATGGAATAAACATGTGTTTAATATAAACTGAACTTACTGTCCATTTAGCGGGGAAGCTAAGCTAACTGACTCAGACAGCTTCAAACTTGTTTTGCAACGCAAAAGCAAAAAATGGTGAAACTAGAATTATCACTTTGCAGCTGTTTGTTTCTGCCACCAAGTTTACGTCCCTGTTTCCCTCCATTCCTGAGCTGGGATGAAAAAAAAAAAAGAAAAAACTTTTTAGACAATATGACATCAATCAGCCACAGCCTTAAAACCACTTCCTGACAGGTGAAGTCAGTGAAGCTGTGTTGTAAACCTGAAGAAATCCTCCCAAGGCGCCACGACTGTCACTGGAGATTAAAAAAGCGTTCGTGTTGTTTTCGCTGCTTTTCTTGGTCTTCTGTGATCAGTAAAATGCGTTTTGCAAAAGACCTCTGATGTCGTGACGTCCAGCTTTGGGACGATGTGACGGGTCAGTTTGTTCAATATTCTGAGACTGTGATGAGCTCTTTGATGATTAATTCGTTTGTCAAAAACATAACATAAAAACATGCTCTTATGCTCACGACTCACCACGGCGGCAACGCATGTAGAGTAGAACAGCAGCGATAACTAATCCAACCGCAATTAGAGCGAACATTGTAATAACAACAGTTTTAACGGCTTGAGTCCAGCGTTTCATGCAGTTTTCTGTAATGATAAACCAAAAAAACATTGCATTAGAAAATAATAATATCACAAATAATACAATACATGGGAACCCCTGAATGATATGATGTAATGTATAACGCTGCTTTTTCGGTTTTACCACAATGAAATATTCGCCTCCCAAAAATGTTGTCAAAATAACACAACACACTGAAATAACTGGGTGACACTGCAGCTTTCACTGAGCTTGGAAAATCTAGTTTTCGACTCGTTTTCGTACTTTTAGGGCAATTCGGGGTTTAATTTTTATCTCATTTAGTTTTCGTTGCTTCATTACTGAGGCCTCCAAAACTCAATGCACGACAAGTTTAAAAACAAAAAAGGTTAAACGTGTTTTTAAAAAGATGCAGCTTTTTGAAAACACTACAGATTAGAGCTCAACTAGACAAAAACAACAGCTTTAACAGAATGACTGACACAAAAAGCTGCGCTACAACAGTTTTGATCCACATTTAGAACGGAAATAAGAAATAAATTCAACAGCATATGTAAGGACTGAAGCCCAGACGTGAGCGCAGGTCTTAGTTAATGCAGCTGACACAGGTGCTCCAGCTCCAGTGTACCTGGTATGTACATCTTTGTGTCTCTGGTCTTGTTGATCTCAGAATGGTGCACTCTGCATGTGACACTGCAAAAAAAAAGACACAAGTTCAGTTAGTTTTCTCCTGGAAGATCATTTTTAAACTCCTCACTGTCTGGAAACGTGGCCCACTCCGCTGAGACGGCCGCTGCTGGAATCTAAACTTCCATTAAGGTTGAAAATGAAACTGAAGTTGAACCTGTTTGTAGCAGTCGCTCTCCTGGTGACGTTGAAACATTCCCCGGAGCGTGGAGCTGTTCGGGGTTTCTCAGCATCGATCTCTTGTCCCTGCTCGTCCAGAAACGTGATCAGAGGCTGCGACGGCCAGCAGTGTTTGACCTCGCACTGCAGAGTCGCTCCACCGTCCTCATCTGAAACAACTGAGAGCGTCGGCTCGGGGACAGCACCTGCAAGAATTGGTCAAAATGTGGTCTTTAAAACTTCCAAACAGTTAGAGGGTGTTAGGATGTACTGAGGCTCCACAAGCTCTACATGATGTCAGTACATGTACCATCGACCAGCTGCAGTACCTGGTCGTTCCACCAGGTGGCGCCTCTTACTGTTTAACTCTGTAGAGACCAGAGGAGGCGTCACTCAGACTACAGGCCATTCATGTTGGCAGCAGAGAGCATTGTGGGAGTTCAGCTGGCAACGGGACCATGACAGAGACTTCCAGTGTTCCTTTGATTGATTGATACTGACTCAGGAAACCAAAATCAAAATCTACATCCATCGTGTTCCGCCACATGATTCCTGCTGGTGTTTGGTCACACATCCATAAAGCGCTTGCTTGGCCTGTCTGGGTGCCTTTCAGAGCGCACTGACGACATGCTTGGCTGCCAGGTTTGACATTTAACACGTTATAAGCTGTGCGTCTGTTGCAGCAGCAATTCACATAAATCACAAAAATTAAAACAAAACACAGATTTACAATCATACACAGTCTTTATAATCCCTATTGTTAGTTAGCACGCGTCTAAAGCAAGCTGCATTTAAAAGCCAGTAAAATATTCAGTTATTGGCTTCAATGATAAATCATTTGACGATCAAACAGCTTTGAGTTGCAGCACCAACAGCGCCCGTAGTGCCTCCGCCTTCATTCTGATGTCTGCAGATAAACACAGATCATGATCTGTTCCTGCAGGATTTAATGCGCTGGACTGGTGCCACGCGATTGGCTGACTGGACAAAGAATGAGCAGGTTTAGAGGTGTTCCTCATGAAGCGACCGGTTCATGTACGAACGCTGTTGTTGAACCTCTGACAGCAGAAACTCCAGCAAGTTACTGTCGTGAACCAACAAGTACTTGAACGCGTGATGCTCTGTGTTGGCAAATTGTTGCTTTTCACTTGGTTCCTGTTGAACAACTGAACAAACAGGATGTAACACGTTCAGACAGGACAGATATTGTCCGTTTAGATAAATCCGTTTCATGATACAGACATGCCAGCCTTCGACTAAATACTGTTCTATGGTTTATGCAGCGGAGGACACTGCCAGGTTGATATTTAAAACTAATTAGTTTTGATTCGACCAAATTAAGACTCATGTTTAGACACTGTTTTTGATCATTTTTAAACACTTAGGTATTGTCGGTCTTGCCAGACTAGCTGTGTGTCCACAGTTCCAGCCGCTACGCTAACCAACTGCTAGCACCAGCTTTCTATGCAGCATTCAGACGAGACAGCTCCTCATCCAACTCTACACAGGAATGTCATGCACACTGTTCTGGGAGAAGCCCTCAGCTTCATGATTAACTTCAGAAGTTCCTGAACACACCGATACCATCAGGCCTGTGCTGCACCACCATGCCTGCATCTACAGCGTTTGACTGGACGTACCGACGACCAGCTCCAGCGTGGAGACGACCTTCCGCTCCTTCTTCTGCAGAACCACGCACTGATACTTTCCCCCGTCGGACAGCTGCAGGTTGGAAATCCTCAGCGAGATGTTTCCATGTTTCAGTTCGTTCATGAGCAGGTTTGTCCGGAACTCGAAGTCCGGATGTTTCATCTCGAAGGTCTCGCAGCCGTCCCGGTACAAGAAGGTGATGTTTGGAGACAGCCCTTCCTTGGACCACTCGACCGTGGGCAGCTCATCGCTGAGAAAGATGCTGCAGGGCAGAACGACAGTTTCACCCACGATGGCGATGATCTTCGTTGGTTTAATACCTGCTGAGACAACAAACAAACACGGTGGAGCTGATTAATAGATTTTTTCAGTCAAATCCCACCAATAGACATCAGTACGATCCATTCAGCCCAGACCCAGTTATTCCTTCACATCAGTGAACCAAAGCACTGACCTGGATGATCTTACAGGACCATGAACACAACACCTTGCTGCGTATTCATGTGTTTGAATCCCTGCAGCTCAAGCACACCGGCTCACCTACGACTGCTCAAATGACTGGAAACTGAGAAGCTTGCAAGTCAAACTAGGTGCAAGGTGAATATTTTTTTTTCTTTCTGTACAAAAACATTGGGAAGAAGGCCACTGAAAGGCAGCATCATTGTTTTATACTTTATTCTAACACAAACAATACAAATGGACATTTTATGGGTGTTTTTAATGAAACATTTGCTGAACAACAAACGTGTTTAATGCGTTTTGTTTCCAGGCTGCTCCTGGTCACAGCCACAAGTTTGGGAAAGAAAGTTCTAAAAGCCTTCGTCTTGAATCGTGACACAAGCAGTTCTTACGCTGTGCAGGACTGATGCCAAACACATCATGTGTTTGGCATCAGTCCTGCTGTGGTTGTGCAACATGAAAACACACATTCCCAACAGCCTTTTAATCAAACCTTAATCATCACAACTGAACTCTTGACCCAAATAAAGCTGCTCCGACTGAGTCTGACCTGAATCTAAAAACCAATCCTCAGACTGAGCTTCACAACAACAACATGTTACCGTTCCTCGTAAAGTCTGTCCACAAAGACAGAAATCACACACGGTGCCGCGCGAATGTTTCATTTTCCTCTTTTCTCTGCAGATTTCTGAGAAATCAGTCGACCTCATCTGACGCTCTTGAACTTTTTGCACGACATGAGTCACATGTTGTGTGTGTGGTCCGACAATTACTGTAACTGAACCACAAAAAAGAGCCCTGAGATTTTGTCTGCAGCGACTCGACTTTAGGACACTGAAACACAGGAAGTGATACTCCTGAGAACGTCATTGGTGTGAAACGTAAAGATCGTTTCAACCAATTTCACACACAGCCTCAGAACTCAGCAACATTCATCAGCCGGCATTTGATGGAGAAACATCAACTGCCGGCTGCTGTTTTTCATCCAGAGATCAGACACTCAGACTTCCAGGATTTCATGCATAACAAACCTAAAGAACCAATCCTGTCATTATTCCTCTACAGCTTTGGTTTCCAGTGAACTGGCCGACGTTTGCTCGATAAAACCATAGAAACAGGAAACTGAACTGATCAAAAAAGCCAATTTAAAGATTTCAATATCAATCATAGACTTAAACTATCACATCCTGTTTAACCAAATATCACAAAGTGAAACAAAAAGAGACATTTTTGGTGTCAAAAATATCCCTTTCTGTGATTACGTTGAACAAAAACCCCACAGGATGAACTGAGCTGAACTAAAAGCCAGTCAGGAGCTGATTCGACACCAAATCCATGCACAGCAACAACACAAAGACGCTGCACAAACCACAACCTGAGGCCAGTCAACACGCTGCACATGGAGCCAGACGTGGTGCAGTACGAGCAGCGGCCGGAACCGCATCAGTCAAAGCAGGAACCACAACAGAGAAGGCGTAGCTGTAATGATGGCACCGTGATATTAGCAGGAACAGTAGTCACAGAGTTAACAACAGCAGCATTGACAGTACAATCATTGTTTCAGGTAGTGAGTGAACTTGCAGAGCTACAACAGACATCAACAAGCTGCGAGTCAAAACTGTGAGTCACGCCAGCAAATATTCCAGCAATGATGAAGCAACAGCTGTAAACTTCCCCTTCAAAGAATCCAAAAACCTCCGCAGTCTCAGGCAACTTCAAGTCAACCACACGATCTGGAATTTAACCACTTTGGCAATCAAGGCGTGCAGGTGATACTTCAGACGCTGACACAACAATGACAGGAAACACAACTTGCACACAAATCTGATGCACAGACCACAACAAACACCCAAAATTAGTCCTCGGCAGCATTTTGTCAAAATAACTTCAAAAACAAAATAGAATTGCGGCCTTGTCTTGTCAAACCTGCCACACATCAGCTTCTACTGATGCTAGAGGCCTCGAAAGTTGGAGAAGTGTCGACCAAAGACTGTATTTTCAGTAGGAAATATGGATCCATCCTTATTTAAATGAAGGGAACATTTAGCTTAACATCAATTCAGCTCCACTTCTGGGGCATTGATCTGTCTTGTTAGGAAGTGAAGTGGGTGAATCATTTTGTTGTCCAACCACTGACATGCACCGTGTAATCTACTGAGAACAAAATGACATGAGAATGAAGTGTTCTCCTACATTTTTGGAGCATCACATATGGACATAAACACTTGGAGGACTTTTCTGGACCCTTGTTTGAAAATGATGCACTTTTTCCCATTTCCCAGGGCCGATGCTGAACAATTCAGCCTCTGTGGGATCCATTCAGTCATTGAGATCTGCTGGAAACTCTTCTGTGTGTGTCCTCACCACATGTCCTGGCTCTGAACCTGGACAGGTGAGACACACCTCTGAACACAGAAGTCACTCTGGGGCGGTGCAACAACATTTCTCCTACATTCTACCCTGAAGCAACTCCTTTGGTGATTTATTTTGCAAACTGTGAATATAGGCCAAAGGAAAAAAAGAGACTCCATCAGCTCAGGTTGCAGCGCAGACGTGTGAACGTGCAAACTCGGTTTACTTCCTCATCTGAAGACTTTACAGGAGACTTCCTCCAAAATACTTCAAACTTACTACGTTCATACATTCACCACAGACATGATTTGTGGCGGTAATGAGATCTGTAATTTGACTTACTGTCCCGTATCAACGAGATAAGATGTCAAACTATCTCCTGTAAACGCAACACGCCTTTGTAACCCGAGCTGCTCTCGGAGCCCCGTTTCCAGCCTGTATTCTATGTTTGTTCACATTACCGGAAAACAAACGACGCCGAATTACCCGTTAACGTCCATTCATCGCTGTGCATCGTTTGATGTTGTGCAAACTTTCACCGCATTGCGCGAAAAGTGAAGACTTTGTAAAAACCTGATGATTCTCGGGCGAGTTCTGCAGCGTTCCCATTCACGCCCTGTTGGCTCACCGTCCACACATCTCCGGTAAATTATGACATCCGCGTCTCAAGAAACTCGAAGATTGAGCTTCAGCTGCAGAGACGCCTTCAGAAGTTTCACAGAAAGCAGAAACTCACCTGCAGAGCCCGGAAACACGGCGGCCTCGAGCCACCTGCAGGCGAAGAGCAAAGAAACGAGGACGACTGAAAAGTTTAACATCTTGTTTCGGTCCCGACGGAGACGAACACCGGCGGCTCGGTCCTCAATCAGCTGGCCATTCAATGAAGATGCCTTCAAGACCACTCGGAAATAAGGCAGCTGCACATCTTCTGTTGTGCTCAACACAACAAACAAAACAGATAAATACCAGCAGAAATGTTTACCATCAAAATCAGCTGTAAGATTATTGTGACCCAACAGGTGAAGCTGAAATGAGTTCTAAGCTCCTAAATTAATCACCAACTATTTTTATCCAAAGTCTTATTTATTTATTTACTTATTTATTTATTTATTTATTTATTTATTTGAATCACTCTAAAAACCAACAGGTGCTGAACAACAACAATGTGCAGCTAAAATATCATAAAACACAAATAATAAAAGACAAATCTGAATAAAAGTCAACACGAACTAAAACCACTCAGATGAACTTAATTTCACAGATTACATGAAATCCAGCAGCACCTGTGTTCAGTCACGTGATCGATTCTTCTGCAGTTATTGGCCTTTATAGAAACGTGTGTCTTGTCAAAAAAAAAGAAATTGACAGTAACTCAATTCGACTCCAAGGAGTGAACACTTTACAGATAAAGTCGGTTTATTTTAATTGAACCACTTTGTTTATTGGAGCTTTAGTTTTAACACAACAATGAAAAACACACAAATAAGTATATTTACACACATAAGTAAAAATAAATAATAATAATAATAATATATTGGAGCTTTAGTTTTAACACAACAATGAAAAACACACAAATAAGTATATTTACACACATAAGTAAAAATAAATAATAATAATAATAATAATAATAATAATAATAATAATAATAATAATAAAGGACTGATCTCACCTTGACACGCAGCCACAGGGAGGTGACAGACGGTGAAGGAGCAGGTGTGTGAGATGAATTTACATGAAACTACTGAACATCCTAACAATCAGTTCCCTGACTGCAATTTATGAACCGATGCAGGCCGAAGATTAGATGTGATAAGATCGATTTAATGAAGAAAAAGTCTGAATTATCTGATTCCAGCTTTTCAAATGGGAAATCTGTCCTCCTCTAATTTCAGTCTTTGGGTTGTGCTCAGAACATCTTAGGACGCCCTCGTGTGCTTTGGGAAACACCATAAGCTACAAATAACATTTCACAGACAAAACAACCAATCGATTAATCCTCAGAACCACACACTCTGCTAAAAGACACGTTGTCGTTAAAAACAATAGCCAGAATAGCCCCATTAATCACAGACGGAAAGTGTCAAAACAGAACAAATCGTTGGATTTCCAACGGTCCGTGAACTAATCATGGGTGACTGCGGTTTCATCGAAACACTTAGACATGCATACGGTCGTCCTCAGATGTGTTTATATTCTCCCATTAAAGAAGGAAAACAACAGCAGTCACTGAAATAAACTGAAAGTGACAAAAGTAATAATAAATAAAAAATTATTGAAAATCATGACATTTGTTTTGGATTGTGGTTTAACAGAAATATATATATATATAAATATTTTTTTTAAAAACAACAAGAAGCCTGATGGGACCCGTAAACTAATATTTAGCTGAACAACCCTCTGAGCCAATCACTGCCATCAGGTGTTTCTGTAACTCTCAGTCAGACTTCTACACCTGTTGACAGGTATTCTGATTTCACTGCTCATCAGCAAAGTGCTCTCATTTGTCAGGGACAGTTTTTTTATTATTATTATTCTTATTGACTACAATTCAATAAGAAATGCTTTAATTCACTGAATTATAATTTAGCAAATTTTTATTTATTACTATTTTTTTCAGTTTCTCGTTATTTGAGTGACTGTTGTGAATTTGATGAATACATCTGAGGACGACTGTAAGCTTCAAAATCATGATATTTAGACAAAATGAGTCAGAAATAAGCAGCACTAAACAGACTCTGGTAAAAATCTGAGAAGCCGTGAGTAACTTTTCTCCAGACATAGGGGGTTTTTGGGTTTTTTTTTCCAGTATTAATGATGATGGGCACAAAAAAAATGCTCTCCATGTTTGCTCCAGCTTTTAGCGGTTTTTGAAAAATTACAAATCAAAGAAATTCCAGTGAATAATTATTGATTTATGGCATTTTAACAGCGTCACTCTGTTTGAGCCACAGTGAGGAAGAAGGTGCAAAAACAAAGGGCTTGTTAATGCAAACAGTGGCTGATGGTGAAGGCATGAGTTGTGCAGACTGTTGGTAAATAATTTTTTTTTTTCCTTTTATTGCTGTGAACAAACATTTGCTGCAGCTGGGAGCACTGGGAGCGTCTCTCTTCATATATTCATCATTCGATCCTTTCTTGGTTTAGAAATATTGATTAGAGCCGCTGCGACTGTCTCGATTGTTTGTGCATGTTTGTGTCATTCATTGTAAAAGTGTGCATGAAGGATTTCGTTTTGCAGACATGTGGATTTGTGGATGAAGCGATCACCCTGACAAGTGGGAGTAAGAAGTGAATGCATGTCTGTGATGTGTGACTCACTCACTATGGAGGCTCCCAGCTTCTTGAACATGAGGAACTCTGACAGCTACAGGATCACTACAGCGTGCTCTGCTGCTCACATGCATTTAGGTTCTGCTTTGGAAACATTCCTCTGGTCTGTAGCTTCTCTCTCATGCTCGCTGGACTGGGAGTGGTCCAACAGCTGATTTTGTATTTTCCCAGGATTCACAGTTATGAACCAAAACAAGAATTTCTCTCAAGGTGAACCTGAAGAACGAGTCTGTCAGTGTCGTCTCAGCCAAACCAGAGCTTCACTCATTTCATTTATCTATCATCTATGAAACCATTCCAGGATGAGTTCACAGATGTCCAAACGTACAGTTCAGCCTGATGCAGACATTTCTGTAAACATCTGCCTCATAGAGTTTATAGACGTTATTTTATGGCTGTCGACAGTTTAATACGAGAAGTCTATAACATGGAACCTTATCTGTTAGTTCTATTTGTTTATGGCTTCATTACGTTTTTACTCATTTCAGGAGTCACAAAGATGCGACTGAACCTGCTCCCTCTCTGCTCCCTCCGGGCACTGTGAGGCAGAAGGAGGCTTGTTGCTATGACAGGTTGTTTTGCCTCAGCGGTCGACATGCGGGTCAACACTCACTGGAGTTTTTAACAGCTATGCCCTCCTGTTGTTGAGTCATTGTGCATTTGGTGAAAAAAAAAAACACGTTTGTTGTTGTTTCATCTTCAGTCTTCTTCTCAGTAAAACACTTGAATGAACAGAAAGCGACACACTCCTCAAATGAATATTACAATCATTCATACACATGATTTTATTCATTTTCTACATTAAATTACTTCAAATGTTTAATGTCATGTACACGGAAAATCAACGGTGGAAAAACTTCAACTGAGACCATTAAGATAAAATGAATGTACAACAAAAGTAAGAAGCATTAGTCTGCTGCCAGAATCCTACAGTTTACGCGCACGGTGCCTACATGTGGCGTTCACAACGACGTGGTGGAACTCAAAGCAACGAAGCTGCATGCTGCAGGAGGGAATGTCTGAGTGAGCGACGGCGAGACGTGAAGCTTTCTGTCAAGAGGCGCACAGTCAAGGTGCTTTTCCGCTCTAAGCAGGCAGATAACAACATCACTGCAGAACATCAGTGAAGCAAAGTTCACACAACAGTTTCCAGTCAGAGTACGATGTTCTTCAAAGGTCCCATATGGTGAAAATCCTGCTTTACAAACTTGGAGGTGCAAAATAAAAGCTGTGAAAATGTGACAATTCTGACTTGTGCCACTCCATGGAGGCCTTCCAGTCTGACGAGCCGGTGAGCCTTTTATTCTGGTGTTATGTAGAAACTAGCAGCTAGAAGTGTACATAATCCTGCCGCTTCTTTCCTCCCAGTTTACCAGATTGATTGACTTTCTACAGCTGTTTCTACCAAAACTAAAAAGTCTCAGCCGCAAGCAAAACCCACCAAATGTCCTGCTGTTGGCCGCAAGAGTGAACACAAGAGTCTTCATGCACTGCCAGCATCTGAGGAACTGAACACCCAGTGGATTATTACTGATTCTACCAATAAAAAACTCCTCATGTGCAGCTAACGTGGCTAACACGACCTTCAGCTTTGATCACCAGGTCAGAGGTCTGCCGAAGTAAGAGACGGTGGAAACTTTAAGACTGACGTACAACCAGCAGACAAGGACTGGGTGGGTTACTGGGTCACCAGTTGTGCTTCAGTTCAACTTAAAACTCAGCTGCTGTTTTAAAAGCCAAATTCCCAATAAAGCTGTTTTCTTGCACACGTTTTCCTTTTCCTGTTATCAGACAACAGACTGAGTATGAAGCAGTGACTGAAAGGCAGCCGACCAACACCACATCATAACCGGCTCCTCATCAATGAAACACAGGTTTTAAAACCGTAACGTCATCTGACAAACACATGAGATATAAACACCTGCTGTGCTGTGACTTCACCAAGGTTTCCCTGTTTTCCAAAGTTAGAAGCGACAGAAAGTCCTGGTCTGACGCACTCAGCTACGTCGGCTGAGAGTCTTCTTCCTGAAGAAGGCGGCAACAGCAGCAGCTCAGCTGCATGTAAAGCTACAGACACTGAAACAGCCCGTTTAGAACGAGGCTAAAATCAGGGTTTTCAGTCATAGTGAAATGTAACGTGCATGTATTGTGAGTTGAAATTTGAAAGACATTCTGGGGAGACGTGAGACTTTCACTGATTCGCTAAAACCAGACACAATATGGGACCTTTAAATAAAACGAACAGGATATGAACAGCACGGGAGCAAGATCGTAACAAACATTAAGTATACAGGAAAATCAATACAGAAGACATTTGATAAATAACAGACTATGAAAAAAGAAGATACAAAACATTGGCAATATACAGCTTGTAACAGAGAATACAGTATGAATGAATAGACAGGGAGCTGGATAGTGTCATTGCATTAACAAAACAAGACTCATGTTTTCTCAATGAGTCACGACATTTTCAAAAGCAGCTCGTTTTAAAGGGGAAATGTCAGAGTGCTGAAACAAGACCGATACGTGGTCTTGGTGTGAGTGACTGAGCCTGGATCTTCTTGTTAATTACCTCAACCCGTCAAACTTGTAAGCTGGTTTATAAGTATGTTTTTAGTTGAGAAAGTGAGTTTTTTTAATCACTGCTTTTTACTAACAATATCGTGATGTTTCAGGGTTTAGACAACAACAAAAAAAGACAAGATCAGGGCAGCAAATAAACAAAACTCTGGATTTTTGTTCTGTATAAGTGAAGCCGAAAGCAGAACCTCCCTTGTTCATTTAACTACCTCTTGCTTCTTCCTCACCAACCTCATCCCTGCCTTCCCTCAGTGCACCAGCTCCAGCTGGCTGGTGGAGAAAGGCAAGACTCCGCTGACGTAGTAGGCGATGCCCAGTGAGAGGAGGGCGATGACCACCAGCAGCAGCAGGACCCTCCAGAAGCCCAGGTCCTCCACAAACTCCTGCCAGGTGGTCCTGAAGCTGGACAGGACGCCCTCGCTGCTCTGCAGGTTGGGGTTGAGTAAGGAGTGGCTCTCCATCGCACTGGGATAGACGCAGAGAAGACTGTCAACAAACAGGATCTCCTCTGTGCATTCAAACACACTCTAGCAACCAGAAAAATATTTAGACTCTTATCCAGCACCATCAGGGAGATGTCTGATTAGCCCCACATCTATCCTGACCAAACATGCAGCCAGAGAACAAGACAAAGAGCAAAGAGTCGTGCAGCAGTCGCTGTGAAACCGACTGTATTGATCCTGATGATGGAAGTTTGTTTTGAGCATACATGCGCAGCTGCAAACACATTTCTAACATCAACACAATCACATTAGAGTTCAACTGTTTTGTCACCAAAGGAACAAAAGACTTCTTGTAGAAGTTGCCTCTAAACCTTGGAGTGTGAACACGTCGACCAGACGGGAGCAGTTTCATTTCTGGATCAGGCACATGAGCTGGGTTTGTCCCTTCATGGTGGTCTGTATCTAATGCAGTGAAACTATCAAACGCTCTGTTGTAGAAGCTTGTCATTACTATGAACGAGGTCCATGCTGCTGCTGGTTTACAATCCAGTCTACTGCCCCTGTATGCTCCTGCTTACCTCTCACTATCAGCCATCTGCATGGTCTCCAGCTTGGAGTGGGGCCCTCTGTTGAAACCCTTCACCTCCTGCTCCTCCAGCCCTTCCAGAAGACGAATGGCGTCCTTGTTGACCCCACGTCTCTTTGCGAGTACCAGAGGAGTCGATCCATTGTGGTTACTGCAACGTAGGATTTTAGCATCGTCAGCGTTCTTGCAATTAACTGGAACTGAGTTTAGCTCGGATATATTCTGTTGTTCTGTAAGAGTCAGCAGTTGTTACCTCGTCACGTTCGGGGTCAGACACACTTTTTCATAAATAACTCTGCACAGTAATTTGTATGTCAAGTTTACAAACTGATGGAAAAGGAGAAAATCAATAAACACAAGCAGATACAAAGGCAACAGACAGAGAGCTGTTTACACACAGAAGTTAAACTGAGAGGCAGATTTCCATCGTTATCATCCTGAATGTGTTAAATCTCTCACCAGATATCAATCTTCAGCCCGTTGGACACCAGGAACTGTATAGTGTCCACGTGACCGCACAGATGCAACGCTGTATTTCCTTGATAATCCGTCGCCAACAGATCAGCCCCGAACTTGTGCAGGAGGCGACATATGTCCACGTTTCCCCGGGCGGCGGCTAGGTGGAGGCCGGTGCGTCCCCGGTTGTCACGGATGTTGGGGTCACATCCCGTCTCCAGGAGCCTCTTGCCAAAGGGCAGGTCTCCATCAATGCATGACTGCAGCAGAGGCACGCTGGTCTGCGACGAGTCGTTGATGAAGACATAGGACATGTCCGAGTGAGTATCAGAAAATTCCAGCGTACCTGCGATGATGAAAAAAGAGGAAAAATTAAGGATGTGAAACTATCGCTATTCTGATTTGTGCTTACATGAAGAGGGGACACGTCTGACGGGTTTGTCTGTGACATTTAATAAACATCATGAAATCAGTTCTTTAGTTATCTGGAGCTGAAACGTTTAATTGATTAGTCAAGTGAGAAAAAGAAGATAATAAACAATTTGTTTGTTGTTATTATTTGCTGTTGTTATAATCGATACATTTTTTGGCAGCATTTGACGTTTGCTGAACATTTACTCCAAATGAATCGGCCTCACGTCAAAGACGCCGTCAGTGTGGCTGCATTTTGCTCCAACGGATGAACAAAAGCTTGAGTGTGAACTGATCACAAGTTGATGTTGTTCTGATTTCAGAAACCACATGAAGGTGGGCAGGTGCACGCTGGCCTGCTTCCAGTCTGGTATCATGTCAAAATGACAGAGTTTAAATCATTTATTACGCTGCATGTAGTAGCTTTTAATATTTATTTTTGACACGTACAACAGCAGACTAACAACTGTGAATCCTGCTCATTTTCACATCATGCATTCACAGTTTAAGCTACTAAAATTATCTATTGACTACAACTCTCTCAAAACCAGACAAAGATGCTTCAAAATGCACATGTTCACATCCATTTATTAAACTCACACTGGTGTCGTCACAGACCTGACATCAGCCAGCGAGCCAACTGTTCAATGATTAATACTTTGAATGCTGACTCTCCATTTAATCCACTCATGGTCCTGTACGTTTCATGCTCCACCAGGTCGTCTGCTTTGCACCTGTATATACACTGCATGTGAGCTCATGTGCTTCATCTGGATGCATGTAGAAATTCATCTGCCTGCTTCTGATTCTCTCTTCTCCTTCTGTCTCTTGGGCCAGTTGTAAAAACAACAAATGAAAATGTGTGAAACTAAAACTCTTTCTGATGTTAGTCATTCATTTTCTACATTGTGAGGATTTATGTGTCTCCTTTGCGACAGAAAACTGAGAATCTTCGGGTTCTGGACTCCTGGTTGGACAACACAAGCAGCCACATGGTGCTTTTGGTTCTTGCAATTTAAAAAGCAAATGTTTAATCAACGAGTTAACAAAACAACCAGAAGATGTAACAATAAGAAGGTCAACGTTTGCAGCACATCAAGTCAGATGAACAATGATTTGCCTCAGTCTTAGCAGGTAAATGACATTACTTCAGGATCCATCTGACTCATACTACTGACTGGTTGACGTATCTTTTGGCTATCAAGCACTGCAGGGTTATAACTGAATCCTTTTCTACCTGAGCACGTTATTTCACTTTTATCAGTTTCTATTCATGTCTTTCACTTGAACAAGGTGAACTTATGTGACGTTAACTTGTACATTCTGCCTGTAACATCCGAAAAAAACTTATTTTTCAGACGAAAATACAAAATCAAGTGATTATTTCGGTGATTATTCCTATAACGTTATACAGCAGTTTCTGTAGGAGAATGGCAGGCTAACGTTGCTAGCTAGCTAACTGTGCCTAGCTACTGACGGCTAAGTATTTAACTAGCCTGTTAACTTGCATGAATGCAAATGTCAGCACCATGAAATGAGTTTATCTTTCATAATATATCAGACTGTTGACATGCAGCGATTTTACAACACAGCGGTTTGTCCAGCTGCTGGTGCTGATGGCAGCTAGCGGAGCTGATGCTAGCGTGCAAGCTAACGTTCTGCACAAAGCTGAAACAGATTAACACGTTATTCAACATCTGTGACAACAGACGCATAAACCCGCCGTTTATTTGGCCTCTCTGCTGATCGTCAGCTCTGTTAACTCACCTGTTATTATGTCCCAAACCAGCAGAAAAAATTACACCTCGCTTTCCTTCGAGCTAACGCTGCTAGCAGTGTTGTTGTTGTTGTGATGCTAACTTCTTCTTCGTTGGTAACTGCAGCTGGAAACTAACATCACGGCTTTTGTCGCCACCTACAGTTCAGGATGACCTCCTTCAGCCCCATTCATTCAATTTAACAAACAAAAAAAATCATCAAACCTCCCACATTAACTCAAGAAGTCATTTAATGAGCTTATATATATATATATAATCACTATTGTTATTATTCTTATTATATTTAATATTAATTATCTCCATGAACACACAAAGCATCAAATGTTTCACATCTTACAAAACCATCAGTCAAATGTGGAATTTGGGCTGCATGAATAAAATGGACTTAATTTAAATCCCTCAATATTTCTTGCTTTGTGTTTCTTACAGTCAGTCGGCTACATTTCAAGTTAAGATTTGCCTTTTTACATTAATTTTGACAAGGTGTTTTTTTCTTTTTTTTTAAAAAAATAGAAATTTAAGACTTTCTGTGACAAAATGTTGACATTATCTGGTACTTATGTCTAATTATTCTAGATTATTTCATACTTCAAATCAAATCATGTTTGTTGTCATGTTGCTGTACATACACAGTAGTACAGGCAAGACAAGAGAGCGTTTCTTCAGCACCCAATAACTTAAAGCAATTTAAATAAAGAAGTGTTTGCATATCCTGATCAGCAGTTCAGCATTCTGACAGCTTGTGGCATGAAGCTGTTGCTCATTCTGGATCTAGCCATAGATCGTTTTGCATATATTTCCCTTTTAATCCTTTTTTCCTTCTTTTTAAACAGTATGAGCCTTATTAGCATGTGCTTGGGTTAAAAAATGATAACTTGTTGACAAGAAACCTGTTTCGAAATGCATCATGAATACATTTCTTTTCCATCTGATATAATTTCTTGGTTGTTCAAGACGACAGAATCAGTATCAAGGTGTTAAAAGTCTTTAATTTGGTTTTTGCCAAGCACAGAAAGAAATATGATCCCGAACATCACCTCTACACGACAGCACACAAGCATGAGAAACACTGATGTTATGTGTGAATCCACTTCAGTTTCTTACACCGAGATGACAACAAATAATACAAATGCATTTGTCAGTACGTTTTTAAACTTTATTCCAAAGTGTGTGAGCACAGAAATACACATTACAGTAACAGACATGTTTTACCCACTTTTGTTTTGGATCCTCTTTGAGGAAAACTGCATTTCTTTCTGTCCCTCCAGGCACTTACAGTATGTTGCTGCATTAGGCATTTGGTTCTGAACACGGGGTTAAGTCCAAACAGACAATAAAAACTGCTAGTACGTCTGTTAAATCATGAGCGGTGAATATACTTTTCATATAAAAACATCCTAAAAGCATTTTTTTTTTCCTTAAAATTTAATGTACACATCATTATCTTCCCATTCCCTCCCATCTCAGTAAATAAAACCAGGGGATAGTATCATGACTTAAGTAAAATAATTACAATCTAGATTACAAAACAACAAATACAGACCAAATAAGAAGAAAGAAAGAAACATAAAAGAAAAAAAAAAAGTCAAATGTGACATGGTAGTAAAGTCAAGGCTACCAGCAGAGAGACGTGCTAGACACAGCGGTCTTAGTGGTTACAAGTCATGCAGTAGCTTTCACTGTCCAAGCAGAGATGAACCAGTTTCACTCCAAACCAAACCTAATTAAAAAAAAAAAAAAAAAAAACTTAACTTCTGATCTTGTCTTTGCACTCGTTTGCAAATCATTATTCATCGTCACATTTATGGCTGCAAAATCTACATTTGAAGGCAGAAAATGAGTTTTTTTTTTTCTTTTTCTTTTTACCTCTTTCTTATCCGAGGACAGTGAAAAGACAAAGAGCGGGAAAAAAATCAAAATAAAATAAGGAGCTAACAGCGTTACAGACCTTTGCTCTAACATGTTTTGCTGGGAAATACAGGAAGCACTATGTACAGCAATAATTAACAATCAGAGAGTGTGTGTTTTGTTTCCTGTTTTAAATTTAGAGTGAATGAAGGGTTTTTAAAAAAATACTAGTTTGGTCACAATACAATGAAAACCTGTGAGAGTGGAAATGGGGGAATCTGCCCCTTTACTTGACTTGTTTGGTGTTCTGACCCATGTGAGTTAGTATCAGTGCAATATCAGTCATTTCTTATTATTGTTCGTGTGGCTTGTGAGGAAAAGTGCTGGTTTGGCTTTTTTAATTATTATCATTATTGCATGCAGTTTAATGAGAATTGATCTCAAACGTTGCCTTTCAAGTCGACTGTCAGGGAATTGTAGCACCAGAGAGTCACATTGAGAAATGTGCAGAGGTCACAGGCATGTGGAAAATGCATAGTAAAGTTAAAGGACCACACTGGTAGTTTTGCACGTTTCTGGATAGATAACATTGTGACTGAGCATTCCTATTGTAGTCTTCACTAACAACTGCTCGAAATCACTTCACACGTTCGTTATGGTTTACACTCATTTCTCTGAGAAAATCAACACGTAAAGAATTGTACTTCAACTAATATAATCACTCATTAGACTGAACAGCTGCGTTATTATCGTTAGAAGCGACGACTTTTAGGATCTTACTGAAAGTGTCGTCAGCAGCCACAAAACACCGAAGACGAAGAAAACGCAAAGATGTAAACGTAAAATGTAGTTTTTGTTTTCAAAAGCAGCTGTTGGATTTTCCCTGATGCAGGATTGGCTGTAAAATATTCACCCCTTAACACTGTGTTTTAAATGGCTTTCTGAATCCAATTGTGCATCGATTGAAAGCACAGCAGACTATCAGGACGTCACCCACTGGTCTGTGGACGACTGGTTTAAGAGCCTCGGGTTGGGATTTGGCCACGTCCATCCTTTGAAACTCTACGGGGTTGATTTGATCGAGAGCTCGAGGATACTTTACTACTGGTAACAGAAAAGTCTTTAAACCAGCGACTGAGACCATAAATTAATTAGTAAATGTTTACTGAGGTAACACATCAAGTGAGAGTATGGCCACTTTCTGTGTAATCAGACTTCTTTTGCAGCAGAAGAGTCGCCCCCTGCTGGCTGTTTAAAGTAATTCATGTTTAAGACACTTTGGCGTCACTTTTCAGACCCAGAGGCTTCATCTGTCTTTTTCTGTGAGAAGCACAAAGACTCAAGATTCAAAAGATGTGAAATATTTAAAGACAGCGACACCACAGCTACATTAGCTTTTTGTTTTTCTCCTGTGGTCTGTAAAGGCAAAAAATACAGTGCATTAAATGTAACCTGCAATACTTGTTCTAATCTCAGATCTTGCATCTTAGCAGTTTGATTTTCCAACCCTGCAAAATGAATGTCAACCAGTATGCTGCAGCTATTCACGCAAAACAATGCAAAACCACCAGTGTGCCAAGAAAAGGCAGCGTCATGGCGACGGTCTTTAACGTATCATCAAGTGTAAGAAGAGGCGGCCATTTCTATAAAAATGGAAGTTTGAACCGGGATCAGTGAGGTTAACATCTGCTTCAGCTAAACCAGTCTCAAATGTACCCAACCACGTGTGGCTCTGCTGTCTCAACTGGCTCACCTGAAGCAGCCCTGGTGTGTGAGCGGTGCAGTGCTGTCCGAAGGGGCGGCACTCTCCGAGGTAGCCGAGAATGATTCTCGCCAAAAACCGTAACGAGAAAAACAGACACAAAATAAAAACAGACATAAACAATAGCACCATTGTCAGTGATAATCTGGAGAAGAGCAATCACGCCGGAAGCCTTCTCCTTCCATTTCCTCCCTCCAGCTTCTTTTAATAAGCCATTCACTCCTAAATGGGATATAAAAAAACTCTGAAAACAGGGCCGGGGTTGCCCAGTGAAACAGGACAGGGGCTCATTTTCAGTCAGTCACATGTTCTGTTCCGATTATCTTTCCTCTCATCCTTTTCTTGAAGTGTTAGTGTGTCACCTCCCGATGTTTCCCTCCGCTCCTCCACCCTTCGCCTCCGCCTACTACAAGATCTTGCTGCAGACTTGGCAGCGGCTGACTTTGGAGCGCTCCTGGCCTCCCTTCAGGGTCTCCTGCGGCGGTGAGTAGAGGAACTCCTGGCTGGGATCCACGGTGGTGAGCCAGAAGCTGTACTTGTTGGCAAAGTAGTGGCAGGTGCCCTTGGCCCCGTTGCACTCGATGAAGGGAGTCGCACGGAAATCCTCCAGACAGGAGCCGGGGGACACCAGGGACTGACCGCCGCCCTCGGCACCGGCTGCCGTGTGCTGCGGTGAAGAAATTTCAGAGGGATTATTTATTTGTTTTTCTTTATTTGGAGTTCCGTCCTTGCAGCAAACAACCAACTGACTCGTCCTGTCCTGTCTCCTGGCAGCGGTTTAGTCCTAAAGCCCCCCTTTGGCCTGGATTAAACGAGTAATTCAAGAAAAATGTAAAACCTTTTTCTGGCTCTGATAAAAAAAAAAAAAGCAAAATATCTGCGATTTTTATTCAGATCAAACCTTTTGAATTAATTCTTTTTAATTATACATTTACACAATTTGACAACACGGTCAGGCGACTGAACAGCTGGTTAACCTGTTAGCTAGCTCGCTTTCCAATCCACAGCAAAGCATCCATTTCTCTGCGTGCTCGAGGCAAACAGCAGAAGAGATCAGAGATCATGGAGGTCGCACAGGAATGAATGGACTTTACTTGACTCTGTGGAAACGAGGATTTAATCAGTCGACTACGAGCACCTACCATGAGGAAGGAGTATCCTATCCAGAGACTCCTCCAGCCGGGGGGGCAGTTGGGGATGGTCATGTCCTGGCTGTGGACGGCCACCGCCTGAGACGGAGCCTCGCACACTGAGCACCTGCAGAGTTCACGCAACAACTGACCAATCACACACCTGCTCATGTACGATATGTTTGCTTATGATGCGAGCGGCGCTGCGTGGGTGCAGCGTGGCACCGCGTACGCTACCTGCTGATGTACGGTTGGATCTGCTCCTCGGCCACGGGCATCATGGGTATGGGGGCGGTGGTGGAGAGCCAGTAGGATTTGTCGTTGCGGCTGGCGTAGTAGCAGATCTCGTTGGGGGAGCAGTAGAGGAAGGGGATGGTGCTGAACTTGGGGAGGCATGACCCTGGCTGACCTGGGAGACAAAGAGAGGTCTGATTATCATATTGGAACTACAAATACCCACAAACATCAGGCTGAGTTTGTGTCATATAGCCCAGTTCCACTTTATATCCACCAACAAGAGCCACTGCAAGAACATCTCTGTTTCCATACCGAGGTCCTGGTTGTGTGCCTTCTCCTGTCCCTCCACGTACAGCAGACTGTATCCCTCCCACAGCTTGGACATGCCCTGAGGACACATGGGAGGCTGGGCGTTCTGGCTGTGCTTCACCAGAGTGAAGCCGATGCTGAAGCTGCGGCCGACGCTGCCGGGAGAGCCGGGACGCCCGACGGCACCGGGGAGACCTGAAGACGAGGAAATGCAGGGAAAGGTGAAATAGTAGTCAGTCGCTGTGCGTTTTTGATAATCATATGCAGTATTTTAGTGGCTTGGCTTCAGAGGTCACAGACTGCAAGAACTGCAAACAATCAAAATCATTGCATTTAACGTATTTTTATTCTTTATATTTCATATGCTTGGTATCATTAATTGGACTTTTAAAATTCAGATTAACAACCTAATGTTAAACTGTCCCTGGAACTAGTTCAAAGTTTAATAAAACACATGAAAGGGACACAGCATGCATGCATTTACCACAACATTTATATTTTTCATTGTGGTGAGATAAAACCAATATAAACTGTCAATTTCTGTTCGTACTACAACTATAAAATCAAACACTGGCCGTTATAAAGTAGTCATGCCAGGTGAATATGTAGCAGTATGAAGCTATATCCTGCTTTATTGTCTAGCTTCTGCTAAAAAAAAAAAAAGACCAGAATTTATAAAATGAACATCGTGGCGTTTTGATCAAGACTTGAAACGAGTGAATGAGATCATAAAATCATGAAGAAACGGCAACAAATCAAGTGAGAGAACGAGTCATCTTCTCATAGATTTCTATGCATTTACACTTTGTTTGCAACCTGAGGAGTCGCCCCCTGCTGGACATTAGAAAGAATGCAGGTTTAAGGCTTTAAGACTTCCACACTGGCTTCACTTTTTAGACCCCAGCAGCTAAATCCATATTTTAAATGCAGTCTGTAGGAAAACATTAAAAAAAGATGACAACAAAGACAAATACTCAGACCACTGACCTTGTTCTCCAGTTGGTCCAGGGAAGCCAGGAGGTCCGCCATCACCCACCAGTCCCGGCAGACCAGGTGATCCGGTCCTGCCAAGTTTTCCCACGCCACCGGGACGACCATTAGGACCTGCAGCAGGACAACATTTTAACATGTGTCTAAACACAGATTAACTGTGCTTTGCTTCATCATGATCTTTATAAATATTAGATAAATTCATACGTGGGCACATAAACTGTATGTATACGGAAAACCTGTAATAGAAAAGCTGTGATGGTTTATGTGGCTGAAGTCTAATATGGTAATAATGGAATAGTTCAGCATTTGGGGAAATAAAACAATTATTTGCTTCCTAGTGAGAAATAAACAGAACATCACAACCACCTGTATGAGAAGCCTGGAAGCATAAAGCCTGGAAGCACAAGAGGAAACAGTCTAAAGGCAACAAAAGCTACCTGTTAGCTCAGCATTTAAAAAGTTAGATCTCATTTGTTTAAACTGTACAAAACAAATGTAAAAATGCCCACGTGGAGCTGTATCTGGGTCATGCAGTGAAGTCCTTCTTGGCTGGGCAAGTGATTTTTTTGCCTTTAGATGCTTTACGCTAAGCTAAGCTAAGCTAAGCTAAGCTAAGCTAAGCTAAGCTAATTGTCTTCTGGCCCCTGGCCTCATATTCAACAGAAATACACAAGAGTGGTGTCATTCTGCACATGTAGCCGCTTGAAAGAAAGCAAATAAGCATAAAATACATTTAACATACATCATGTTTCCCAGAAACTATAATGCATCATAATGTGATTAAGACATAAAAATGTTCGGGAAGAACATATGTTTTGCGTTATTCTTAACTTAGGCTTTCAGCACTCACCAGGACGTCCAGGCATGCCAGGCTGACCAGGCTCTCCAGGGGTACCAGAGCCTCCATTGTCGCCGGGGTAACCCTGGTCTCCAAAGGGCCGGGTGAAGTCTACCGGTATCGTCAGCGTGACTCCAGGGAAACCCTTACGACCAGGAGGCCCTGGAGAGGACGGCATGGAGAGAAATAAAGAATCAATGTGTGAGTGGGAAAAAGAGAAAACAATGGAGTAGGAAAGGGTGGAATGGAAGGAAGTGAGGTATGGTGGAGAAATGTTTCAGCGTGCTCAGTAATTTCACAGAGGAGTGTTCATGACCTGCACCACCATAATCCGCTGATAAAGTTCTACTCATGTGGAGTCCTCCTACCTTGTAATCCTTTCGGGCCTTTGCCTCCATAGTAACCAGAGTCACCGGAGAAGCCTTTGAGACCAGGACCTCCGCTGAAGCCGGTATCACCTCGCTCTCCTGAAAAGCACAGCGTTTACGTTTTTGTTTTTTTTGGTGTGTTCGAAAAACACATTGAAAACAAACATGGCTGCACTGCTGGTTGTTGTCATGTCACCTTTGAAACCAGGGCTGCCGGGGAGTCCGGGGCCTCCAGGAAATCCTGATTCTCCCTTTCTGCCAGGCGAGCCTGGGAAGCCGGGCAGCCCTGAGTCACCTCTGTCTCCCTGGGCTGTGCCAGGACCAGGCGGCCCGGGAGGACCTGGAGGACCTTGGAAACCTGGAGGAGGACAGAGAGCATGAAAGGTGAAGAAGAGAGGAAAAAAAGGAAGAAAAAAGAGACTGGACAGAGAAAATGCATTTACCATATTCTCCATCCAACCCAGGAAGGCCAGGGTCTCCGAGAGGTCCTGGGATGTCTGATCCAATAACCGCACCAGGAAGTCCAGGCCGACCAGGGAACCCAGGGAGTCCAGAAACACCTGATACGCAGAGAAATGCAGTCGTATATATCTCATAGTTAATCAGTGTTTTTAAGTTTCCTCGAAGTCTGTCTCACCTGGCTCTCCTCTCTCTCCCTTTGATCCGGGGTATCCTGGACCTCCGGGGTAGGAGATGCCTCTCTCGCCCTTCGCACCTGGAATACCAGGGGCACCAGGGAGGCCTCCTCCACTCCCACCTGAATACAAATACAACAAAACGTTAAACAGCAGCTAATCTTCCTCGTCTGCAAACTGCATTCAAATAGCTTCTTTCACTTGTGACTTTTAGCCGAGGGGAAGGCTGCTCTCTCCCCCAAAGACTCTGAAAAAGTGACTCATGTTTTTATGATGACTCAGCTGGATTTCTTTGTATGTGGACGTAGAACAGTCGTCTCAGTCGTGCGTATGTGTCTGCTGATAATGAGTCGGAATCTGATACCACTGGAGTGTGTATTAAAGATGAAGGACATGCATGTCAGAAAATATACAGTAGATTAGCTGGAGTGTCTGGTTGCCACCCAAGGAGGCGGTCACTCAGACTACATTAAGGTCCGTGATGGCAAGCAGAGAGCATTGTGGGGGTTGAGCTAGCAATGGGCACAAAGACTAAGACTTCTGTGACCTGAAGTGGCCTCCAGCCAGAGCTCATGCCCTTGTAACAACACCACATGTCCACAATGACAGTCTAGACCATAGGAAGCATAAAAACAGTGGGTGTGTGTAATGAGGTCCCTGCCTGGGGTTCCAGTGAGGCCTTTAGGTCCAGCAAGGCCATTAAGTCCATCCAAACCAGGGGATCCAGGCAAACCTGAGAAAACACAACACTGTGAGTGAGTCTGACTGAAGGCGACGTCATGCTGTAGCCTGTTGAGTTACCACGTCTTCATTAAACTGCAATAACAGTTTTTCTCTCACCTTTGGCTCCGGGACCTCCAGGACCTCCAGGACCTCCAGGAGACCCATCTAGTCCTCTTCTTCCTGGGAATCCAGGACTACCTTTTGGCCCAGGGAACCCAAGAGAGCCTGTAGAAGGAAAAAAAAAAACACAATGTCAATATATATGAAAGTGAAAACGACTCTCTCTGGTGTCTTGAGGGAAATATGGCAACTGGTCACGTTCATCTTCTTGTCTGACGGTGTGTGTCTCTCACCTGTTATTCCAGGCCGCCCTGCTTCCCCTGGACCACCCTTTGGTCCAGGGAAGCCTGGACTTCCTGGAAAGCCGTTGTCACCGGGGGCGCCATCGTTGCCACGACCACCTGAAGAGACAGCATCAGTGTGTTATGTAACGCATCCTTGTGTTTGTATCCGCCATTTTACAGCTTTGCTGGTGTATTGTGGCTGTAGTCTGGTAGAACAAAGGTTGTTTTATGTTTCAAGGGTATTCATTGTAGTCCAATGCACAAAAACATTCTCATTCAGCATCAGCATGAAATAAGACCTAAACAAGACCAGTACTAAGACTGGTGCTGCTGGGGGCCTTTTGTGGGCCATTGTTGTTTCTGTGAATACATAAACAGTAAAATGTGGATCTAAACCATCTTATCTAAAGTTCAAAGTAGGTAAAAGTATCTTCTGCTGGTCATATCTGGTTTATTCATAGCCAAGCATGGTGAGTCTTACCTGGGAAGCCTGAATCTCCGACCAGGCCTTTAGCTCCTGGCCCTCCAGGATAAGCGAAAGAGTCTCCAGGCAGACCTGAGCAACACAACACGTGAGCCAGTGGAGGTGTGAGTGGACCGAACTATTCAACAACACATTTGCTAGAGAACACGTATGTTGTTTTCTCGTGTGTGTCAGCCTGATATTTCCGCTCACCTTTGCCGCCAGGCCGGCCAGATTCTCCAGGGTTGCCAGAGAAACCAGGTGCACCATCATCACCCTGAAAAATCCATCCAAACTTTAACCTCACCTCCTGAACTTGCTGCGTGTTATCATCGTGGTACGTGTGTGTTTTCTTACCCGTGGTCCTGACATGCCAGGGAATCCCATGATTCCAGCTTCTCCCTTTGGTCCAGGGAAGCCTGGAGCTCCGGGCTGCCCAGGAAACCCAGGCTGTCCCGGCTGCCCTTTACTCTGCTCAGCGAAGCCAGGAAGCCCAGGCAGACCCTGACGACCAGGTAGACCTGGCAGACCTTTGTCACCTGTGAAACCAGACAAAGACAGGTGCTATATGGAGGGAAATTACAGACTTTGTTACACAAGCAGCTCACAGTTTACTCAAGACTGTTTTTAACTACAATTAGTATTTTTTTTTGGAGGATTAAATTTGAAATCTACCCCCTCCTTAAACTCTACGACATTTAGTTGACAGGTCTGGGTAGTAGCTACTTCACAGAGTGAGACTGTCCATGTAATAAAGACTGTATTGTCATAGACAAACAACTGAGCAGTTAAAAAAGTCCAAAGGTGCCCGACCTTGACAATATTAACATTTAAGACATGAATGCATCGGCAACAAAAATCCAGTGACATGTATGATAAAGATGTCACCTTGAGTGGTTTACATAATCAGTGTTTTGATAGGAAATGCTAATGCTAAGTTGCTACTTGAAGCTAGATTTATTGTTCAGGTATTTTTTAAACTGGAGGCAGTGATACCTCTGGGTCCAGGGAAGCCAGGGAGGCCGCTGCCTCCGGGGAAGCCAGAGTCTCCTTTCTCCACCAGCTCTGATGGAAGAGGAATACCAGGCAGGCCAGGAGGGCCGGGGTATCCTCTCTCACCTACAGAAGCACAAACACACCGACGTTAGTGTAAATGACAGGCTGCTCACTGATGCTCTAAAAACAGCAGCAGCTTTAAACATTAATTCTGAACTGATCCTGAAGGCGTCGACGTCTTCACTCTACCTTTCTGTCCAGGGTATCCAGGTCCACCAGGAAGTCCGTCTCTTCCAGGGCCTCCAGAAAATCCCTTACCTCCAGGAAATCCTGGAGACCCGGGGCGACCGGGAAGTCCTGGGAAACCCATTACTCCTGAGAAACCTCTTTCACCTATGGGAGCAAACAGAAAACGTCCTTATTAGTCACTGTCCTCTGCCACGGTGAGAAACCACAGACCAACAGATCTCCAGCCTACCCTTTGTTCCCGGTATTCCTGGGATTCCCTCTCTAGTTCCTGGTCCTGGAGGTCCGGGGGGTCCCCTCAGCCCTGGTGAGCCAGGAGTGCCAGGCAGTCCTGGGGTTCCTTTCATTCCAGCAGGCCCTGGGAATCCTGGGTCTCCTCTTTCTCCTTTCCGACCAGGGAAGCCTGGTGATGGCCGGATGATGGATGATGAGACGAGAGAAAGACAACAGACGCTTAATAATGTGAATGTGAATGTCACTGATTCAGTGAAAACAACTAAATACTGGCCAAGAAGAAAACTTACCTTTTTGTAAATTTTAACTAAACTTACCTCCAACACAATAAATGTTTATCAATAAAAATGGAACAAAAATCAATTATTTCCTCTCTGAATACACACACACACACACACACACACACACACAATCTGGCAAACAGCAGACAACAATGTAGTCCCACACACTGCCTTACATTGTTTTAATGCCTTGATTAAGCTGCAATTGCACTTAAATTATGGATATTATTGAACAGAAAGCGGCATGTCGCCAATTTACATGCAGCATTCAGGGATTTTAAAACTGTTTCCAAGAACAAATCTGTGATGATGGTGTGTTTAAGTGCAATTCCAGTGAGAATTAGTGAGATTCAACCAACTAAAGTTTGTCCTACAGGAAACTAGCAAACTAAACACTACTGTTTACATTCTTAAAACCAGACCCCATTTTCAACACATCAGTTGGAAACCATCATATCTGGCACCAGTCCAGGACGACGTAGGGATGTGTTGAAAATAAAAAAGTCCTTTTAAGAGTGTAAAAAAAGCCTCTAGGTTCAGTGCAGGAGCGGTAAAGGCAAAAAGCAGCAAAAAACTTTTAGCCACACAAACGTATTTCGGTTAATTCAATAAACACACGTGGCTCTAATTAGATGTAAATATCTAGTATCATTGAAGGTTAGTTCTGGCTGCAAAACAACAACAACAACAACAAAAATCGCAGAAACATTTCTGGAGGAAATGTTTTGGTTCTTAATCGCGCACAAATAAAATATCCATCTTCTGCTGTGAAGGAGTCTTTGAGTTGGGTGTGAAGAACCAGTTGCCTTCCAGCGACTACACAACACTGCATGATGAAGTGTGGAGACTTAACCAAAGGTCCACCATGTCTACGTTGAGCTTATTCACCACCAGATTGGGGAAAGTGACGATATTTCTTTCTTAGCAACAAGGTAACAAAGTTTTAGGTCATTATGAGCCACAAACATTCAGCTCTAACACAGATGAACGGAGAGACTATTAAATTGTTGTCGTGTTTGTGCAAACATCAAACATATGAGTCAGCAACTAAAAAACACTGCATTTAAAAGCTGGAAAAGCTCATTTAAAAGAGAGATAATTTGACATTTCTGATGCACCAAGAATGCATCGTCCAAAAAAAAGGGGATTTTAAAGTAGTTTCTGTTTGCAGCTGCATAATTACACAACGCTAACCACTTAGCTGCAGATGGAAGATGGCTAAAATGTCATTAGAAGCGTTTTTCTCTGGCAGAAAGTGCTGCCAGGGTGCACGTATTATCAACAATAAAGTACTCCGACATGGGACGTGGGTTTTGTTTCTACAACATCCTGACAACACATCACAACTGCAAGCGGTGTTGAGTGATGGACTGACATTGCCCCTCCTGATAATCTATCACTGGAAGAAGGAAGCAAGTTGGTCTTTAAGGACGAAAACTCCACCTGCTTCAACATAATCCTGTCACCACTTTGTTAGATTCTGTCCTGACTTGTGTCACACCCCAACACAGACTCCAGGTTCGCTAAATGACGGAGATGGACATTTGTTTGCAGTACAGATGAGGAGTAAAGCGCAGGCAGACGCTTGGAGGGAGGCAGCTGTTAGAGTGTTTGGTCTAATGCAGCAAGAGGATGGAGGGACGGAGGCGCAGGATGGGAGGAGAGATGGATGATGGATGGGGGAGAGAGAGTCTCACCTTGGCAGCCTACAGCGAAGGACCCAACACCAAGAAGGAAATGATGGAGGGATGAGAGGATGGATGGAGATGATGGTGGTGGTGGTGGTGTAAAGGAAGGAGGGAGGAAAGAAAGAAGGAGGACAAGTGGGACAAAGAGAAAAACACAAAACAGAAGAAGAAGACATTCTTTTGGGTGATGCAGAGTTTAAATGAACAACAAGAACAAAACGGGCAACTGTGGCGGTGAAAGGAACACGATGAGAGAAGAGAAGGATGAACCGACACTGATAAAAGTGGAGGGATGAGACGTGGAAGAAAACCAGCCGCGATCAAACAAAACCATGTTTCATCTTCTTTACGATCAGTCAAAGGAAAGAAAACGTACGATCATCTCTGAGTGTAAAATCCTACAGAAACCAACAGAAGTGTGGTTAGTCAGGGCTGCTGAGTGCTTCCTCTCACCTGGAGGTCCGCTCGGTCCCCTTAGTCCGGGAGGTCCGGGCGGCCCGACGATGCCACCGGTCCGGTCACCTGGAATGCCGGGAAGTCCGGGAACACCGGGCAGACCGTCGACTCCACGCTCTCCCTTCAGCCCAGGAACACCAGAACGTGCATCAAGACCTGACGGAGGAACAAAGACAAACACACGCTCATTACCGCTGCTGTGTACACGTGCAAATAATCCTGATTTACTTCTGAATTTCTGCTTCATTTCTGCTCCACGACATGTCAGAGGGAAATACTGAACGTTAAATTAGGCATGGACTAATTACCAACCTGGCTGATTGTTAGAGCCAGTGTCCAGCATTTGTTCGCACATCTTCAAGTTTAATGTTTTAACCAAAAAGTTATTTAAAACTGCACGACTGTGGTTGTGATGCAGAGACCTCTCTCTGTCTGGAGTCACTCTGAGGTCTGGATCAACCACAGCACAGTCAGGACTGAGAGCCGATCGACGCTGAAGGATGAGACGTCTAAAAGTCTCTGATGGTTAAACATGTAAATAAAGGCTTTTCAATGAGTCCTACACATTAAGACTGTACTTCAATGTGTTCTGAGGTGTTTTTTTGTGTTGCACCTCATAATCAGCGTAATCTGTTGTGAACATTTCATTGTGCTTCCATGTCAGAGTGTGTTGTGCTTNACAACAACAACAAAAATCGCAGAAACATTTCTGGAGGAAATGTTTTGGTTCTTAATCGCGCACAAATAAAATATCCATCTTCTGCTGTGAAGGAGTCTTTGAGTTGGGTGTGAAGAACCAGTTGCCTTCCAGCGACTACACAACACTGCATGATGAAGTGTGGAGACTTAACCAAAGGTCCACCATGTCTACGTTGAGCTTATTCACCACCAGATTGGGGAAAGTGAGGATATTTCTTTCTTAGCAACAAGGTAACAAAGTTTTAGGTCATTATGAGCCACAAACATTCAGCTCTAACACAGATGAACGGAGAGACTATTAAATTGTTGTCGTGTTTGTGCAAACATCAAACATATGAGTCAGCAACTAAAAAACACTGCATTTAAAAGCTGGAAAAGCTCATTTAAAAGAGAGATAATTTGACATTTCTGATGCACCAAGAATGCATCGTCCAAAAAAAAGGGGATTTTAAAGTAGTTTCTGTTTGCAGCTGCATAATTACACAACGCTAACCACTTAGCTGCAGATGGAAGATGGCTAAAATGTCATTAGAAGTGTTTCTCTGTGGCAGAAAGTGCTGCCAGGGTGCACGTATTATCAACAATAAAGTACTCCGACATGGGACGTGGGTTTTGTTTCTACAACATCCTGACAACACATCACAACTGCAAGCGGTGTTGAGTGATGGACTGACATTGCCCCTCCTGATAATCTATCACTGGAAGAAGGAAGCAAGTTGGTCTTTAAGGACGAAAACTCCACCTGCTTCAACATAATCCTGTCACCACTTTGTTAGATTCTGTCCTGACTTGTGTCACACCCCAACACAGACTCCAGGTTCGCTAAATGACGGAGATGGACATTTGTTTGCAGTACAGATGAGGAGTAAAGCGCAGGCAGACGCTTGGAGGGAGGCAGCTGTTAGAGTGTTTGGTCTAATGCAGCAAGAGGATGGAGGGACGGAGGCGCAGGATGGGAGGAGAGATGGATGATGGATGGGGGAGAGAGAGTCTCACCTTGGCAGCCTACAGCGAATGACCCAACACCAAGAAGGAAATGATGGAGGGATGAGAGGATGGATGGAGATGATGGTGGTGGTGGTGGTGTAAAGGAAGGAGGGAGGAAAGAAAGAAGGAGGACAAGTGGGACAAAGAGAAAAACACAAAACAGAAGAAGAAGACATTCTTTTGGGTGATGCAGAGTTTAAATGAACAACAAGAACAAAACGGGCAACTGTGGCGGTGAAAGGAACACGATGAGAGAAGAGAAGGATGAACCGACACTGATAAAAGTGGAGGGATGAGACGTGGAAGAAAACCAGCCGCGATCAAACAAAACCATGTTTCATCTTCTTTACGATCAGTCAAAGGAAAGAAAACGTACGATCATCTCTGAGTGTAAAATCCTACAGAAACCAACAGAAGTGTGGTTAGTCAGGGCTGCTGAGTGCTTCCTCTCACCTGGAGGTCCGCTCGGTCCCCTTAGTCCGGGAGGTCCGGGCGGCCCGACGATGCCACCGGTCCGGTCACCTGGAATGCCGGGAAGTCCGGGAACACCGGGCAGACCGTCGACTCCACGCTCTCCCTTCAGCCCAGGAACACCAGAACGTGCATCAAGACCTGACGGAGGAACAAAGACAAACACACGCTCATTACCGCTGCTGTGTACACGTGCAAATAATCCTGATTTACTTCTGAATTTCTGCTTCATTTCTGCTCCACGACATGTCAGAGGGAAATACTGAACGTTAAATTAGGCATGGACTAATTACCAACCTGGCTGATTGTTAGAGCCAGTGTCCAGCATTTGTTCGCACATCTTCAAGTTTAATGTTTTAACCAAAAAAGTTATTTAAAACTGCACGACTGTGGTTGTGATGCAGAGACCTCTCTCTGTCTGGAGTCACTCTGAGGTCTGGATCAACCACAGCACAGTCAGGACTGAGAGCCGATCGACGCTGAAGGATGAGACGTCTAAAAGTCTCTGATGGTTAAACATGTAAATAAAGGCTTTTCAATGAGTCCTACACATTAAGACTGTACTTCAATGTGTTCTGAGGTGTTTTTTTGTGTTGCACCTCATAATCAGCGTAATCTGTTGTGAACATTTCATTGTGCTTCCATGTCAGAGTGTGTTGTGCTTCTAGGAGAGTGAACGTTGTGTTTTCTAGTTGTGCCGAGTATTTAAAAGCCCAACTTAGGATAAGAGCTGAAATCAGCAGCAGCAACAAACTCTCTGTGCAGGACATGCTGTTGCATATTGGAACAGCAATAAAATGCTTCTTCCTCATGAAATGAACTAAATTCTTCCAGCGCCGCTGCTCCGGCTGCAGATAACAATGAGTGTGTTTCTTTTTAATGACAGAAATCTGAATTTCATGTTATTTCTGACAACAAAAATGACAACAACAACAAAAATCTATCCTGCTTGACAACATGAAACCTCAAATGGCTAAAAAAGAAAAGAAAAATAAAGAATTTTTTATTGACTAAGACTTCTTTAAAAATGAACGTATACAACAAAAAACCTTGTTGTTCTTTATGTTTGGTCAGACCCAACATCCCATTCTGTTTCTGTGACTTTAGAGTTAAGGTGGACTTGATGAGACGTTCTGCTTCCAGTCTGTGTCGTGTTTTTTCTTCTAGCATGAATTCATCAGTTTAACACATAACACATGCCATAAACACAGGTATGCATCGTGCATTTTAACGTTGTGTCACAAGCCGTATATGTTTAACAAAAGAAACGCTGCTACTGTTGGGCTTTTACTGCTAATTTGTGCTACTTCTCCAGCCTCACCAGGCGATCCAGGTCCTCCCGGTGTCCCAGGTTGGCCCTTGTCTCCGGGGATTCCAGGTAAACCGTCCCGTCCTGGAGCTCCAGGTGTGGCTCCCAGCACCTCCCCAGGCTGCCCTTTGGCTCCAGGACGCCCTGGAGCACCGTCCTTCCCCCTGCCGCCGTCAAAAATCTGTCCTGGGATACCTGGAGCTCCAGCGTCTCCTCTGGGTCCAGGGAAACCTGCCGGGAGACGGAGTGGAGGGAACGGTGGGGGTGAATATCACTGATTTATTTACACTGTAAGTCAGTCAAATCTCAGCTATTGTCCAGATGGATCTCTTTATTCAAGGTGTCAGGAACCGTTTAATCTCCAAATATCATCTGGATTTCTGTTGGAAGACTTTATTTCAGCTTGATGAACATTTCTTGTGAATATCCACCGTCTCTGGATTATCAGCACCAGATCATTATTATATCTGCAGCAATGAATCTACAGTTCAGGAATCAAACAACCTGCGTGCCCTCTAAGAACACTCATACCTTCATGAAAAGGTTTCAAGCAGACATATTAGGAAGAATTAAAAGAGTTAAATGTCTGGGTTTGTTCTCAGTTACATCTAATAAAAATGCATTTCCAGAGGATTTTCTGTTTTATCTGTTTCTTTATATCCAAACAGCTGCTGGTCTGTGTTGTTTGTTTGTGTTGTGCTTCTCTCACCTCAGCGCTCGATTCGTCCTCTAGCTGCACTCAGACGATGGATCAACTCTTGCTGCTTTCTAAAATTCTGCATATTCCAGCCTTAATCTGCAGCTAGCAGTTACTGTTGACCACACAAAGTCCCGGTTCTGGTTCTAGTCTGCCTAACAGCGAGCACAGGGACAGACCTCCATGCTGGATTACCTTGAGGTCCAGGCTGGCCTCCAAAGCCGGGGTCTCCTCTCTCTCCTTTGGGACCATCGAACCCTGGTCGTCCAGAACCTCCTGAGAAGCCTGGTTCACCTTTAGGGCCTGGCAGGGACAAACAGGTGGAGGTCTGAGGTTTATGGACTGAGACTTTGCAGGGATTTTTTTTCCCATATAAGGCCAACTAATATGTGATTTCACACAATCGAACTAAATACGATCAAAATCACAATATGGCTGAGTGCAATGTCCAGGTTGTAATTTATTGATTAAGGTAAAAATGTGTCTCAAACATTTATTGTAAATGAAGAACTGTGGTGCCAGAGAAACGCCCGGCCTCCAAACTGTATTCTCCAGAAGTAAAATAACATGTTTGTTTGGTACAGACCTCAACAAAAATCATTATTATGCACGTGTTCATGGAAAAGAAGTGCAAATATAATCTCTTTCAAAATAATCACAATATGATTTTTGTTGTTTTTTTTCCACTCAGCTTCAGTTGTGCAGGAAGTGATGTTTTATATTTCCAGTTTGAAGAAAGAAATGTCTTCCAATAATACAAACGTTAACACACTTAAGTGAACAAAGCGCTGCAGTGGTTTAAATGTAATCTAGCATCAATCTATTCCTCCACAGAAGTACACAAACTTGACAAGACTGATTAATCAACTGGAGAACCTTGAGGAAAAAACTAAAATGAAGAAAGCTGCACACGTAAACACAACTTTTAAATGTGCTCCAACGAAGACTAAGTCAGCAGAAGAACACCTGAAGGAGACTTAACTTTTTTAAATAAGTGTAATATGAGGAAGTGAAAACTGTTGAACTGTACCTGGTCGCCCAGGTATGCCGGGCACACCGGGGTTCCCGTCCTCACCAGGTATGGTACAAGGCAGCACTTGGCCTGGCAGCAGTCACACACAGGTTAGCATTCTCATTTTACGCACTTTAATACAAACATGCAGCAAACACTTGGACACACAACTGTAAATACAACTAATAAAATCTACAAACACTTGTCTGATACCTAAAAACTAATCTACGGGTTTGCAGGAGTGTGAAAATCACATTTGACCTCAGAGTCACACATTAACAAGAACAGTGTTGCTTTCAGTCCACAGACACCTAATAAAACAACCCTGAGTGCTGACAGTGTGCTGCAGAGGCATCACCAGGGCTCAGACAGCCGGGACGTTGTTCCACATCAACAGTCACACAGTGGATCATTGCAAAAACAAATTCTGTCAACGTTTATGGGGACTGATTGTCTGTCGCGTCCACTCACGCTCTCAAATAAAAGACTTTTAATTCAGGTTAATCCGAGTTTAATCATGAGAATTATTGTGTGTTGGATGTCGTTAGTAGCAAGTTCATCGTATTAAAGGGCAGTTCACATATTAGAGGATGATGGACATTAGAGAGTTATAAATTCGCCGTGGGTTTTGTGTCTGGGGATCAGCTGGATTACTTCGCTCCCTCCCCAAACCCCTCGCTGGTTAAAAGCACTGAGCAGAGGCAGGGCTGGAAACATGCGCCAGGTTTCAGCAGCTTTGACTGGAAGAAGAGGAGCGTCCGACCTGAAACTCTGTCAATCATCGACTGACTCGGCCAGAATGGAATCCCTGAGACTGAGGGAGCGAGAAGCTTCCATCGGCTCTGCCATGGACAAATGATTGACAGGGAGGCGAGACTACATTTCCCATAATTACCTGCTTTGAGGAACGTTTTCTAACAAGACGGTCCTTATAAAAGGTTTAGAAGTTGTAAGTAGTGGCTTTAGCGATGATCTTTAAATCAGTTGTTAACCTTTTTAGTCATAAACCATTCACGGGAACAAACTCTGGGTTGCCAGATGCTCAGAAACTTGGCAACCCTCAAGTGATGAATGGCTCAAAACTAATATATTCGGCCACTAAATAATACTTATAAGCCCTTTAACAAGGTTACTTTAACAGACAATAACTGTTCGTTCTCTCATAAGAAGAGACAATAATTCTTTCCTTGTGTTCACAATGCAAACATGAGACCGCCACATCACTGGAGGATCATTTATTTCCACAACTGAGTTCCTAACGGGCATCATTTCTATGAACAGTGGTTAAAAAAAGTCTCTGCATTTATCTGAAAGTCAACAGGGACAAAAAAATGAGGCTTTGACAGCAGCTGCACCCGTCTTTGGGGTCCGTTTTTTCTCTGCTACCACAGTTTTTTTGTATTTTTTTGTGGTATTCAGGTGATTTTGGAGGCCTGCTGAATGAAACACATAAAAAGTTTACTTTTAAGCTAAAAAAAACGACTCAGGATGGACGACAAAAGCATGTACGTGAGTCTTAGCTTAATATTTTACCTCCTCAGCTGAACTATGAATAATAAATAAGTTAAGTCATTTAACTGCGATTGAAATTGTGCAGATCTGCTGCATTTGTCTATAAACTATAATCACCTTTAGATGTCTGCAGCAACACATCCCGACTTATTTCAGCTGCACCTTGTTTTGTTCTGGAACCGGGCCTGACAAATTTAGCACAAACCGCAAAATTGCATTTCTAGATAAAGAAAGCTTTGAAACCGCACTTGATGCTGGGAAATAATAAAGTAACTGCCTTTCTCTCCTCCGTCTCTCCAGTTTGTGTCTTTAAACTGAGCGTCTCATCACCAGGATGCTGCGGCCCGAACAAGCTGCTTACATTGTGAACACGTGGTAACACCTGGTTCAGTACATACACCGCCGTTTTAATTCCCGTCTAACATCTGGACTCACTAGCTCTGACCAACACGTGAATGTGATTACATCTTTCCTCTAGCTTCCTGCTTCACTTTGCTCGAGGGATGTTTTTTGGAATCCACCAGTTGCTGCTCTAACGCTAGAGGCTCCTTAATCTGGCTGGTGGATGAAAAAGTTAGTTACCCACCCGTTCCCTCTCCGGCGTCATTAACCCCTCCACAGCTGTTTTCACCTGGACAGATACACATGCACAGGAAGGTCAGAGAGATGGAGGGATGGATGGATGGAGAGAGAGAGACAGAGAGAGAGAGAGAGAGAGAGAGAGAGAGAGAAGATGGCAGCATACAAAGCCAGTCAGGGTCATTTGCATGCGCCAATTAAGCAATTAATTCTTGTTTTCATCAAACAGACATCAGCAAATCAGCAATCAGTTCCATTCAATTAATTCAAGGCTCATTCAGTTAAGGCAAAAGCATATTAAAATGCTTGCTTCAATGTCAAAGTGCTTAAAAACAGGTTATTACGATCAGCAGGCGAGGAGGAGGAGGAGGAGAGACGCTGTCGACTCTCCTCGCTCTCTCTCTGCACCTGTGAGCGACAATAACCGTCGTATTAAAAGCAAAATAAATCAGACGTTTAGCATTAGCGTCACGGTATGAGCGCACACATTCATACTGGAGATGAGTGGCCAGCTGCTGCTGAAGCCTTTGTGTCATTTAGTCTCAGAGAGGAAGAACTGATTAGATTTAGTTGAATCATTTTTCCTAAATATTTATTCTTTTTTTTTTTTTTTAGTTTTTTCTTTACAAACACTCTGACACAGCAATTACTGAGGCACAAGACATGGATTTGTAACACTGGTGCTATGAACGGCGTTGTTTCACATTTTCAGATTAATCAAGATTTCCATCACGGTCGTTATTTTATCTCTGAAAAATGTTCAGTCCACTGCTGTTGGGCCAAATCCAGTCAGTGAAATGTACAAAATAACTGCACTTGTGTGTTTTTTTTTATCCTGTGAGGGTTTAAACCAAGGTACAAAAACAGCAGAGCCTCAAATGTCCACCGGAGGCTCGAAAAGCGAGTCAGTTCCCACAGACATTCGTGTTCACGTTTAAAGGATAGAAACGTTTACAGCCTGGTACAAAAACAGCTTCTGTCTCTATAGATACCCATTTAAAGCAACTGGCGGGTTTCAAAGACATGCTATCTTTAAAAAACACCAGAATTACGTAACTTATATTAGCCCAAAACTGTCAGAAGTAGAGAGAATGATGCTATTTATTTATATGTTTAAACTACGTTACCGTGATGGATCAGGAATATGAACCAGATCTAAACTTAAAATCGTTCTATTCTATGTGGAAAAAGCCCAGACACCAAGCGACGAGTGACTCGGCTGCATCCAGCAGTCATGTGAGTGAACTGGAATGAACTGCAGGCTGTGTTTACACGGAGCAGAGAGCAGACAATGTGGAAACTAATTAGAAATGTAAGTAGTTAAATGAACAAGGTTTTGGTGGTTGAGTTATCCTGGAAGCTGGTCTGAAGGCATGAAAAGATGAAACTGTGTGAGACGAATGTAAAGAAGTGGCTCAAACTAGCTTAAAAATAAAAACACATCAAACCTTCTCACCTCCTCTGAGACTAAAGAAGCACAGTAGTTGTTGCGCAATCAGCGATTACAATATCATCATTGAGCATCAATCAATCAACTAACGAAGCAGTTTACAGATTATAGATTATTGGCTGCAGAAGAAGTGTATAAGCACATTAATGGAGACCATTAATCATGTAGTTAACAGTGTGCTGCTGCAGCCGAGGCATGAAGGGCGAGAAGCTGCTTTTACAGAGAAACTCTAAAAAGCCACGGTGTCCCTTCAGGTCCGGAGAGCTTGGCTGCTTCAGCGAGGGAGCCGGACCAGGAGCCGTTTGTCCCCTAAAAGTGTCCTCTAATGGTTTAGCACGTTAGGATGAGGTTGCTACGGTGACTAAAGGATGGACAGTGATGTGATGAGGTGGTCGGGATTTCACCCTGTGGGGAGAATACATGACATCCACACACACACTCATGGAAACACTCACACCCAAACACTTCCTGTGATCCTGTTGCCTTCTGCTGCTGCTCATCACTTACCTCTCGGTCCAGGCAAACCTGGCTGCCCTGGCAACCCTGGAGCACCGGCGTCTCCGGGCTCTCCACGAAAGCCGGGGGTCCCGGCGTAGCCGATGCCGGGCTCGCCGGGGCCACCGGGGCGGCCCTTAGAACCTGGGAATCCTGTGAATCCTTTCTCCCCAACTGTGCCGAAGCCGGCGTCGCCCTGGAGAGAAGCAAAGGAGGTTAACAAGAAAAGAAAAGAGGACAAACGGAAGAGTGAAAGAGGAAAACATTTGTATTCCTACAGACGCAAACCTTCAGACTGGTTAAATGCTGCATGTCTCAGTACTCACTGGGGGTCCAGGGGCTCCCGGGAAGCCAGGCAGTCCGTCTCTGCCGGGTTTTCCTGTTTCACCTGTAGGTCCTCTTGGTCCAGAAGCTCCTAGTTCTCCTTTCGCCCCCAAACCCAGGGACGGATAGAACGAAGCCCCCTTTTCTCCTTTGCGACCAAAGGTGCCACTCGGACCAGAACGACCCTGCAGAAACAGAAAGGACATTTAGAACTGCCAGCAGCAGCACAGTACTCCATTTTACAAGTGTTTACTCACAGGAGGTCCTGGAACACCATTCAAGCCAGGTGACCCGCCGTCACCAGGCTCACCCTTTCGTCCAGGAAATCCAGGGCTGCCATTGGCTCCTGGGATTCCAGGTAACCCAGGCAACCCTGGGAAGCCTCCTCCAAGACAGCCACAGTCACCAGGGTCACCTGCAGGAATCAGGAAGACGATGAAAAGAATTAAAATAGAGGTATAGTGGCTCAAGCATTGTGAGAGAAGAAAAGGCAAAGAGTGTTTAAAAAGGAAGGATATTCTTCAGAAAATGATTATTTGTAGAGAAAACATGTGGACGCAACTTTTTCACATAAAACCAAATGAAAGTTCTGCCTTTCCCACCGAAACCACAAACATCAATGACGATGTTAATATGATTCTGTACTTAGTTGACCAAAATGGGAATTTTCTGGCCAAAAGAAAAGAATCAAACGTATTTTTTGTAGAAAATCTGAAATGTTTGCAGACTCGCAGCTTCCTGAAGTTTCTGCACAGCTGACGCACCGACACAATGCTTCAAAGAAATATGTAAATGAAAAGTGTGCTGAGGTGGGACGTCTGAGGAAAGACTCGATGAAGGATAGCAGTGTGAGACATGAACAGAAGCCAACATGGGGAATATTAGTCTTCAAGCACTCTTTGGAAAACCAGAATGCAAAAAGACGGAAGACTGAACTGTTTTGTGGGCTGTGATGAGAAACAATGCGTGTACCTCTGAAGCCCTTGTATCCGGTGTTACCCGGCTCTCCTCTGGGGCCGGGGTTTCCAGGCCGTCCAGGGAAACTAGTGGCTGGACCATCAGGAGAACCTGCAAGCAAACACACACACAAGCAAGTTAGAACAATTACACATTGAATTAGCCACAGAGTCACGACAAACAGTATAAAACGTGTTATTTTTAGACTTTACACTGTTTGAACTTCAGCTGAGTTGCACTGACTGACATCAAATGCAAAAACATTGAATATCTGTAAAGTCCCTGTCTTGGAGGAGCAGGTTTTTCTTTTTTCTTTTAATTTGAGATCATGCACTCACATGTAAATGTTGGAATCACATCAACAGGGATCTTTTAAAGCAGCACAGTGCAAGTGCAGCTTGGCGTCACAGTGTGAAGTCAGGGTTAGTTTGCTCTGTTTGGTCTCAGATTTGACAGAAGATTTGAGCTGCTGTTGCAAGATGAGAGGCTTATTTTTAAAAAAGCATTAAACTGTTTATATCATATTAAAATACAAAACAGCACTATATTTAGCATCAACTAATTCAGTGATTTTACATCGACTACAAGCAGCATGCACAGCGTGTTGCAGTTTCCTCTGAGTGGCGAAAATACGTTTGTCACATGCAGGATATTTGCTTCTGTTGCATAATTACTGTGTTTAATGACAGCAAAAGCTTCTGCGTGACTATAATTAGTAGCTTTGGGTTTCCTTTCAGCATGTTTCTCCCTTTTTCACCGTCTCTTTCTGTGTTTGTGACAAAACCAAATGTAAGAATTTCCGTTGCAAACGCTGCTGCCGAGCTTGAACGTCCATGTAAAATCAGTGAATTATGTTCACAGCAGGCGACACCTTGTGGCCAAAGATGAGAGAAGCTGCTTGGAGTAGAGAGACTCTCGCATCCAAGTCTGAAGCTCGTAACAGTCTGCGCTCTATACTTACCACCGCTCCCTGCACAGAGTTCAGCGCGAAAAAAAAGCAGTTTGGCAGCTAGATACTGCCTGCTGAAAGGGGAGTTTGTTGTTTTGAATTTCGCTTTGGCAGGCTGAATATTGCCACAGTGATCATAGCAATATGGCTGCCTGATGGATACCTGTAGGACTGACCTTTGGGCCTGACAGGATAGATGACGCAGGGTTCAATGGAAAAGCCTTGGAGGACAGCAAAGTCAGTCAGCCATTATGCTTTAAAGTCTGTTTCTATCTTATCTTGTACTCTTACCGATGAGCTGCCTTTTATTCCACAAAAAAATACAAAATCTTTTCTCATACTGCAAATTATTTTGTGCCATTCACGGCTCTGTGCCAGAACGATGCTGTAGCCCATCTGGCAATAAGTTCTTCTGTGAGAATGATGATACAAGAAACAGAAGACAGCTTAAACAACAGATACAACACATCTAATGAAGAGGGAGGGAAGTTTTAAATAATACAGAATTAAAGATGCTGTGTTCATCTGCTTCAGTGAATCAGTGTTCATCTCTCAAATGGGCCACGTCAGTCCTCGTCCTGACGCCTGTGATCGAGGGACGACGCAGCTTTAACCGGGGATTCTGTGTGAACATACCAGAGATACCCGCAGGTCCAGGAGGGCCGACGGGTCCAGGGAGTCCGGGGGAGCCTGGGAGTCCTTCGACGCCGTAGGCTGGTAGGCCCGGGTTGCCCTTCTCTCCTTTTGGGCCTGGGGTCCCAGGAAAACCTGGGGAGCCGCGACCACCTGCATGTGCGGCATTCAGACAGAAATTCAGATTTTGCTTTGAGAACATCCAACTGTTACCTTCATGACTGTTTCTCACAAATTCTCAACAGTTTGTGCACATTACCTGAGCCAAAGCCACCTTGTCCTGGTGGGCCTGGAGGGCCTGGAAATCCTGGACTTCCCTGGTCACCAGGGGCACCTGGAAAGCCACTGCGACCTGAGTCACCTGGAGGTCCTGCAGCCAATCACAGAAGAGATGGTTAACAGGGGCAGCTGGTAAACAATGAAGCACAGTCGACAGGAACAAGGACGGTCAGGAGCCATGAACGAATCAGTGTGTGTTACCTTGAACTGAGGTTCCCTGACCGTTGACGTAAGCTGGAGGTCCTGGAAGTCCCGGTTCTCCCTGGTCTCCCTGTCAGACGCATAGAGGTCAAGACAAGACGTCACAGCAGAAGATGCAGAAATAAAGACTTTGAGCAGAAGAGCCGTGAGGATCCCGGAACGTCTTCACATTTCAAACTCCTAATTTCACAATTTTCAGAGTGAAAAGAATAAGAACAGTGAGACACTGTGCTTCAGGCCAACTGAGGTCATCGCTTTGCTTCATGCTCGGCCCACGTTAGCATCACACCGAGTCACTCCTCAACCCGCCTCAGGTACGACTCTCTGACTGTGCCCTCGTAGCCTAATACTGCTGTTTGACTTCTGACAACTGAAGTACAGCCGGCTTCCTTCAGCAAGTCAGACAGGCCGTGAGTTGTACGTGACACACACACTCAGCCTTTACCTTGGGTCCTATGTATCCTGGTTGGCCGGGGAAACCTGGATTCCCTCTGAATCCCTGTGTTGGAAAAACATCTCATTTAGCGAACAGGTGTATCACAATACATTTCTTCATGACAGCATGTTTGATTGAGGTCTTAACCAGAAAATTTGACATGTGCACATTAAATGCTAAATGCCCCGCGTAACAGCTCATAAAACTGAATGTTTGGTGGTTCCCTACCCGCTGTCCCGAAGCGCCCTGAGGTCCGTTATACCCTGGAGGACCCTGTTTGGAGGAACCACAGAAGAGGAGGAAAAGGTGAGCAAGGAGGCAAATCTGAGCGCAGAGGAAGGAAATCTAAACAGCAGGTTTCTCCAGATACAACGCAGCAGCAGTGAGAAGGTGCAGTCGGGAGTCTTACTCTTGCCCCGGGGTATCCAGGAATGCCCTTCTCTCCAAATTCACCACGATAACCGAAAGGTCCCTGGAAAAACACACGGCAGGATTTCTCCCTCTGATCTGCTTTGTGCACGTTTGTGACGCTGAACAGTTATTTCTGTGCAGGAATGAGCAAAAACATGGACTTACAGGTGGACCTGGATTTCCAGGGAATCCTCTGAACCCCTTGGGACCAGGTTCACCCTTTGAGAGAGACAGAGAAGAACCAAGGTGACATTAGAACGCCATCATCTGCAGATTTCAGGATTCATTAATGAGCAGTATTTAGAGCATCCAGATGCCAGACTTCATCTGGATTTACTGGTCCTTTGTAGATCTACATTCTTTGTATTAACCTTACCTTTGTGCTGCAACTTCACCGAAACACAAACAACCCAAACTGGCCCACTGACACGATTCATTCTTTCAAACCGGATGTTATGTCAGCCTCCCATGAGGGGAGGCGTAACGCTGAGGAACCCCAGGAGGACATTTCTTGAACGAGGAAACCGAGCGCTGCCTCCGATAATCTCAGCAACACACTCGTTCCTCTCAGAAGTGAAGCTGATCTTCATCTTGTTTGAAGCAGAAAGTCACTACTGGGCATGTTTCAGGAACGGTTTCTGATTTATCTGATGGCGACTGAATCCTAGTTTATCTCACTACCTCAGAATTATTATTATTATGAATATACTATGAGGTGAGATGAATGTGTTAGCAGGGATGTTGAGGCTAATATCACCTCTATGCTGTGTCACCATGGTGATATATGATGCTGCAGCTAATAGAAAACTGATTAGTTCATTCATATTTACCACTAAAACATTCAATCAGCTGCACTCATTTCACTTTGACTTGGCCAAACCTAGCGTGATTTCCTCCTTCATCATGGGATAGTGTCAAACCTCAATGCACTTCCTGAGTTGAAGACCTGTAATGTCGTCGCTCTATTGTGGGGAAATAAACACAGAATTTCCTTCCAGCGTTCTTTTCTTCAATCATTTGTCGTAAAAGCATATTTTACCCAGAATTTTTTTGACAATACATTTTCAGAGCTGTCCGTTATAACAACCTGTTCCTCTTGAATGAAGATTGCTTCATTTTATGCAGAATAAAAGTGGAATAAAAGCGTCAAACAACCAGTTTTATGAGAGCACACAAAGAGCCTGATGAAGAGAACCTGGTGAACAAAGTGTGGAATGAAATCGAAATCGTCTAATTTACAAATGTGATTAGGAAAAAACAAAAAAGTCCGTTTTTGCTCGAGTTTGTCAGATCTCACTTGATGACGATAAGGAGACTTGTTGTTCATTTTGACCTCACACTAAAGGAGCTGCTACGAGCTAAATTTCAGGTCGTGTTTTTGGGTGAAAATCTGAAAAAACAAAAGCCTAAAGTGTCCTTAAACATCGACTGAAGGATGCTGTGCAACAATACGATGATATTTTACAAATAAGGAGAAATTAAAACATAAACGTGGCCATGAGTAACTGGAAAACGCAGTTTGCAGACATATAAAACCAGAAACATGATTCCATGGAGGTCTAAACTATCAAGGAGGAACCTGGTGGACGTTCAGCCACACATGGACACGTGGCTGCTGTTGGATTGTCTCGGGCTGCTGCTGCCTTTAAGACGTTTTTCATCCAGTGTTTGACATGAGAAGCATTATGGGACTAAATCCATGTCCAACGAATACCAAGAATAAAATTTAATCCCGTAAATTGTCAGCTATTAGTTTTCCAACAAACCTGCTTTCCTTTGTCTCCTTTGGGAAAACCCACAAACTCCACAACGCCATTGATCATTGGCTGGCCGGGGTCGCCGGGCAAGCCCACGTCGCCCTGGATACCGTAACCAAGGAAGAGAGAGCTGTTTACTGTGATCACCAGCCTCCTGATCAGCCGGTGAACAAGGAGGGGAAGAGGTCTGGGAGGGACTGTCGGCCGGAGGACGGAGGCCACGTGGTCGTGCAGAGTGAGGAGAGGAGCGAGGGGCCGCCGGGCCGATGACGGGAGGCTGGTCTTTGTCATTTTGGCATGACAGAAAAGTCAAATCTTTTGTTTTTTATGCGTTTGGATGAAAAAAGGCTTTATTTTGGGGAGTCAAAAGTCCATTCATCATGTCAACTGTGGTTTCTTTCAACAAGAAATTCTCTGTTTTCTTGCTGTTTCCAAAACTTTCAACCTCATCTTTTGGCTCAAACTGTTGTCTGGTTGTTTGTTGACAAGCTTTGTCCAGCTGCATCTCAGTCGCCTGACCTCAGCTGCTATGACTTCTGTTGCAAGGATTTATAGTATTAGTAATATTTTTTAACCTCATATCACCGTTAAAGGTGTATTTGAGCTGCAGTCGAAGCGTCTTCCTGTTTAAATGAAGGCAGTTCACATTAGTGGATTCATTCAGCTTACAATGATCTATTCAGCTGGCATTTGAATTTCAGCACAAGTGTGAAATTTCTCCTGATTTTTCTGCAGCAGCTTTCCCGCCATTTTCTTTGAGCAGAATTACAGTGTAAAGAAAAGTCTAATGACGAAATCCTGTTTTAACTCTGGGTCAAAAAGAGCATCTAATTTGGAAAACTGGCTTTTGTTAAATGCAGCTGTGCTCGTTTGAGACAGATTATATGATTTAAGTAGCTGTAACTAACAGTGTACATCATCTACTTACATCACATGAGCGTCTAAAATCCAGCTGCATCAACAACTAAATGCTTCCTGAGATTTGGGTGATTTTAACCCTTTGTTCACATCATTCCTCCTACAGACACTTTATTGCTCCTTAAACAGAGATTCACTCGTCAGGCCCAGTTTTTTCTGCCTGTAGAAAGTGAACGGAGGCGACTGATGCTCGGCTGCTGGCTGTGACGGACACCAGGCCTCCCCCTCCTCGCCCCAGACCTCCTCCTCGTCCTTCGGCTCCTCACTCTTCAGTGCCGACACGTCGTCCCCTCCGTGGCTGTAAAACTCGCTGAATCACTGCTCCTCTTCCTTTTCCGGCCTGCTGCCTTCGTTTTACCGTTTTCACACCTGAACCCCACCACATCCCTGTTTGTGTGTCTGTGTTGTGGAAGCGCTACAACCTCTGCTCCTTCCCTTCCTTTGCCGTGTTACCTTATCTCCTTTGTAGATAGTGAGAGTTTGTTCGCCACTTAGCGACCCGTCGCCGGGAGTACCACTGGGTCCGGGAAGACCCACGTCGCCCTGGAGTCCGAAATACACACAACACACCGTTAGCCAATCAGGAGGGGGCGAGGAGGAGAGGAAACAGGAAGAGGGAGGCGAGGAGGTGGGAATGGGAAGAGGGAGAGATGTGAAAGATGACAAGAGAGCAGCAAAGGATGAAGCAGAGCACGTGGAGGAGATGTAGAGAAACCGCCAAAAGTATGTGGACATGTTGAACCGTGGGCCTGAACCTGCTGCAGGTGGGACTTCCTGCCACTTTCTGACTTTAAACTTTAATGTCTATGTTATTGTGATTGCACTGCCTACATCGGTAGTCTACAGGTCGTGCTGGCTCTCTGCTGTCTGCCTGCTATCTTTTAAAATCCGCCTTACAACAGAGCAGGTCTAGGTTCGGACCGTGCAGCCACTTCCTTCCCTTAGATCTTCCCAACACGACTGACTGGTTTAAAGACTTACAAACAAAGCCGAGCGTGACTGATGTTACTACGGCGTTGATCTCCATCACCAGCAGGCGCAGAGCTGCAGACCGAAACACTTTTCCTGTGGACACCTCTGCTACGTTCTCCCTCCGTCTGGGGGATGGTTCCTACACAGTCTGTGGTCTATTTAAAGGAGCTCTCTGTTCTTTTTTTTGTTCTTTTTGTCCTTTAGACTCACATAAGTTCAGCTAGAGTTTGGCATTATTTGAAAATATAATAATTTAGTTTGTGCATCGTAAGCTGCTGGAAACTGCGTTGAGCCAAACTCTAGCTAATAGTTTGGTTTTTTCAAGTAATTTCTACATCTTTGTTTTTAAAAGGTGAAGCACTTAAAAAGCAGCGTTTAAATAAAGTTGCGGACACAAAAGCACGTCTGTCCACACACTTTTGACAAGACACAAAGAAAGAAATCCTTGTTCATGGAGCTTGACTTGAAATATTTGGTTCAAAAAGTTTTGTTTAAATGGAGGAAATGCAGGAAAACCATCAGGATAGATAAAGAAATGCAGAGCAGGATGGGAAAGAGGGAATGAAAGAGAGCTTAGAGATACTTTATCTTCAGTTTCAAGCCGAGGGCCAAAAGAGAAACACAAATGCTGCGTGTGTTCACCTGAACAACGAGTTTAAGTCAAATGCACCTCAGCCGGCCAAACAGCAGGTCCGGCTGCTCCCACATTCAGCCCTGAGTCTGTCTGAGGTCAGTGTGTGAGCGTCTGGCTCAACGTAACATGCATGCAGTGTGTGAGGAGGATGACAGTTAGTACTCGTGTGTGGCCGCTCAGATGAGATGGGTGGGTGGGTGGGTGGGTGGGGAGTGAGGAGTCAAGGAGCAGGCAGATGAACCACAAATCCCAGAGTTCCCCACCAGATGCCCAAACGTGATCAGGATGGGTGAATGAAGCCATACAAGAAGTAGGAGCGAGTGATTCCAGCACCCAGTTACAGTCCACAGATCGTCCTCCAGACTGACAGCTCAGAGGTTCACACTTTACGTTAGCAGCTCGTCTTTGTTGTGTTTGATCAGAAATTTAATACCTGGCAGCAACTAAACGCCAGTTTGTGGATGTTGTGGCCAAAATCGGGTGAATTTCACTGAAACAGTTTGAGAGTTAAATGTGAAATCTCTGAACTGTCATTCAACAGTTAAAGGAAATAAGTGAGTGAGGCCACCGGACAGACAACAAACAGCCCGCAAGTCAAATAGAAGTGGGTGCAAAATAAGTCTTTAAATAATTTAAGCTGGGATTTGAGATGAAACATGAGTCAAAATTTGATTTTAAAAAAAACAGCAGCTGGGAGTTTGCGTTTGTCTCAGTGGCGTCACGGATCATTTGAAAGAACAAACCAGACTGAATCAGGTAGAGGCTCATGTGATCTTTTTATCATACAGGATGCAACAATCAGGTCAGCAGACGTGTCAATCAGGGGATGGAGACAGGAGGAGGAGGAGGAGGAGGAGGATGCAGGGGTGGGTGGGGTTAAAAAAGGGAGGAAGGAGGGATGTGATGGACGGAGGAAGTGCAGGTTGTGAAGCCGCCACCGTGAATCTCAACATGCACAGGGTGTCCCGTCAACGCATGGAAGCAACACGTGCACGTACACAAGCATTCACACACAGCTGGAGCTCGTTAGGCTGCTGTTGGGATGTCTGAAGTCGGAGAAAGTGTAGAGTCCACAACTTTGACTGGAACAGCAGAATAAATGCGGCAGAAGGTTCAGCTGTCGTGTGAGGAGAACCGCTTCATGAATTGGAATTGATCTGTTCGAACACAACTGAGTTTTATTCTGTGAAATCACTGACAGGAGCAGTGTGTTGGGTTTAGTGACATCTAGTGGTGAAGACGCAGATTGCAACCGACTCCCTATAATCTCCTGCAGCAGATTTGATGCTGTTTGCTCCATTTCTGCTGATAAATCCCCCTAAAACCAACACACTGGTCCTTTCATGTGACTCCTTCATCACCTGTGTCGAGGAGAATCAACCTGCTTGTGCTCCTGCCTTCTTTATTTCTGCCTCGGTGACGAAGGTGTGACGGCAATCGGCTCAATCAGGCGTTTTTACCGTTTCATACGCCTGATTAAATCAAAGCTTTGCTGCTTTTCACTGCAGTTTCACTCATCAGGGAGCATTTTATTGACTTGAACAAATTCCAGATTTGAACCTTCACGCAAAGAAGGTGGAAGACAAACTGTGCATTAATTCGTAATCGATGGAGTCCTGAGTGGGGAAAAGACGAACTTTAGGCCTCATATTTTGGACTTTTCGTTGAACAGCTTAGCGTTGTGGGCTTTACACTTTCTCCGATATCTCAAACTAACACCTGAGCCGCAGGTAAAGTATCCTCAGTCACACTCACAGCTGAATCGACACAAAGATGCAGAGATTCGGGAGTTTTACGCTGCGTCTGGTCGTATTTCACACATTTCAAAGGCTGTTCTGCTGCCATCATTCTAACACACATGAACTGTGGTTCCTCTTACTGTGTGTGATTAACTAGGAGAAGACAAACGTTGGACTAAACAATGATTGTGCGTCACCGCCTGCATCAGCAGCTCAACATGCGAATGAGTGAATGAATCATCTGAATCTACTCGAGTTCTTCAGCTAACAAATCGTACCTTGTCTCCTTTCTCTCCTTGATATCCGTCACTACGGCTCCCCTAAAAACAAAAAGGGTTAACGACATGTTTTTGGGACAAAAATGAGAACGAACGTCAAAGATTTCCTTTTGTTTTTTACCAGTATAACCTTAATCCAGGCAGAACTCTTTACTGCACTAAAACACAGTGTGTTGCTGTACTCACCATGAGCCCAGGAGGACCAGGAGGACCAGGTGGGCCCTAAAACACATCACAGGATCAGATGAAGTCAGCAAAAACTATATGAAAGTATAAATTCAAATGCTTTAAAAGACGACGGAAAACTAAAATGTTCTTCACTGGATAAAGAGATTAGAGGGGGCACTTTAATGTGGCTGATAAAATGTAATGAATATTTGAAATAACATAATACTGGCAAATGTTTTTTTTACTTAACTATACGAGCCGTTAATAATGTGATGATAGTCACGTGATAGTCGGATAGAAATCACATAATATGAGTTTGCAATTTTCCACCACAAGAAAAAAAACAAGAAAAAGTGAAACTCCTCCATTTAAATCAAACTTATAAGATAAAGTCAGCGATTATTCAGTATTTAGTGGTATATTAAAGTTGTTTTGTTAAACCAGAAAGCGTTTCCTCACTGCTTCAGTTAATGGAAGCAGAAAAAGCAGAAAAAAAATAAATGTGCATCATGTTGTAACCTGGACAGGTCATCATGGGATATTTTTTATGGTCTGACAAGATAAACTCATGTTATTATATATTAGATATTTTCACATTATGATAAGATTAATGATGTTTGAATGAGATACAATCAAAGTCCAGCAAGATAGTTTAATATTAAATTATCAGAACTGATCAGCTTAAATGTTCTTGTTATAATAAACCATTCATGTTTCAACGTGGAGCAGATCTGTGTTTCTGGTGTAGCCGTATCCATAGGGGTATTTTTTATCATTATTTAGATGTTTTTTTAATGTTTTAAACACGTTGCTGGATGTGATGTAAAGAGGCAGGAAACAGGTTGTACATACGGGGTAACCTTCAGGCCCTCTTGGACCAGAGAAACCAGGCGGACCATCAGGACCTCTGATACCCTGCAGACGTAAAACACAAGCAAAGATCAAACACGCTGCTGCCGTCACCTCTGAACTTAAACACAGTTGTTATGTCACATTAGAGCGTTTTGTCGAGTTAGTTCGGAGGCTGTTGTGTAGAAAAGCCTTACAGGTGGACCGCTGGCTCCTGGTACACCTGGTAAAGCCTGAAGGAGGAAAAAAAGAAGAGCAGATTAATAAGTGAACGCTCGGTTTTACCAACAAGCCTCCTCATATGGAGGAATGCTACAGCTTTGATTCAGGTGTGACTGTAGCACCACCTGCTGGACAAACGCAGCGCTGACAGCTTCCATAAAAGAGCACAAGTGACGTTAAAAATGCGCAGATTATCCAAATATCTCACGTACCCAGTGTGGTGCGACTTATTAAAACAGATCTAATGAAGCCTATCATGTCTTTAAAATGTCCTAAAAGCGTACTGACATATGGACAAATTACTAGATGCAAAACTACTTCCTAAACTTTACATGCAAATAAAAAATAAACAGATGGTAAAAATTAAAAACAAAAGTAAGGAAAGAAGAAATAAATACCAGATGGAGAAAGTAAAGTAAAGCTTAAAGTACATGCTGATGATTCCTGAACACAGAATCTCAGCTTTTATTTGTGGTTTTAAGATTCAAACAGTCGAACTGCATCTTCAACAGAAAGACGTTTTGGTGTTTTCCATCAGGTGCATCCCGTCCAGTACAGACTCGTGTTAGAGGTAAGTAAAAAAATGTAAATAGAAACTAGATACTGCCTGTAAAGCCTCAAACCAAAAAGTGGCACCTTTATTATTTACATTAAAAGTCCATCAATAAAAGAATTCTAGCCACAGTTTATTTAGAGTCGATCCCACAAACAGCCTCCAGCTACAAGAAGCATGTACATTTATTATATATTTATAATTCATTGAGTAACATCTGGAAACAACTCAAACTACAAGAGTTTCAGGAACATTAACCTCTTCAAACCCCAAAGTCTGGGTTTCAAAAGCATGTCATGTTTTGCCAAAATTATTTGACCAGAACCAGAAACTGTAAAAACAAAACGACACATCAGACTTTCAGACTTTCTGTTGGCAAATTTAACCAAATCAAACCTTAAAAATATCTCAGAGTTCATAAATTTGCCAAAAATAAATCGTTTGCATCAGAGCCTGTCGTGCGCTCCATCGTGACAGACAACAATTCAAACGAGGACACAAACTAAAAAAAGGAAACATCAGGTCTTACCGCGATGTTGTTGTCTGAGATGAATCGCGGTTCTCCTTTCTGACCCTTTGGCCCAATCGGTCCCTGTTGGAGGAAAACACACCATCAGCGTCCTGCAGCATTCAGCTCATCAGAGGACAAAGGAGAGAATAAACAGGAGGAGAGCTTCGTCCTCACTATGGGTCCAGGGAAGCCCGGGCCTCCTGTCCCGAAGCCCGGCGCTCCGGGTTCCCCTCTGGTCCCGTTGCAGCCGTCCAGGCCCGGCGGTCCTCTGCCGCCCTCCTGACCCGGGTGACCCTGCAGGGCGACGGACAAGAGGGCGACTCAGCAACAGCGGTTCAAATCCTACAACCTCAACTCTACTGGATCAGCAGAACACAAAGTTCCATCAGTCATCCCCAGATACTGGACTTCTCCTGATCCAACACAACGTTCTCTGAACATCTGACCAGAAACATCGTGATTTGACCAATAGTATGTCTGAGCCGTCCTGATGGAAATAAAACACGAGCAGAGAAATACTGACAGCTTTATTATTTATTGTTTCGTTGATGAAATCTTATTCTGTATGTCACTTAATTTAAAAATCAATCAAGGTTCAGACCCGAACACGGCCTCAACGAGCTCCAAAACCTGATTTTATCTGATAAATGATGACATAATGATTGTTTTCCTCCTTGTTGTCATTTCACCTGCTCATGTCAGCTCTGTTTTTAAAAAAAAAAACGGGGTGAGAATCTTCAGTTCAGGTATTTTCGTTCTTCCTGGTAACTTTCTTCATCACGGTAACGACTCAGAGGTCAAAATAAGACGCATGAATCACTGCAGCTACTAAAACAAAGACCACATTAAAGGAAGATATCTTGTCGTGTGTCTGTTCATGACTGAGTGTACATTAGGTGAAATGTGCTTCAGTGCATTTTGAATAATTCTTTTCATATTTCTGCTTTTTTAAATTCTATTCTACTGAGATTTCTAGATCACATTCATGTGAACTCTGTCTGACTGTTGTTGCACAAACAACATCTGAGTTTTGCACATTTGTAACTTCAATTATTTACTTTTATTAACGGACTTTAAACTGTATAAACGTGTTTAAAAACTAGGAACAGGAGGCGTATCGAAGCTGTTTCTATTCCTAACGTTAGATCTTCTGCTCATGATGGAGTTCCTAAATGCAGAGCCTGCAATAAATGATGAGAACGTTGAAGAAATGAACGTGTTCTGTGTGTATTTGTGCATCTGGTTCACTCACGGGTACACCATCGTTTCCTTGAAATCCGGGCACTCCCATTGGTCCCTGCAGAAGTACATGATTCATAGTTGTGTTAATTCATAATCAGCCTAAACAGGAAGCTGTAATTATCCACACGTGTCTCTGCTTCACTCTCCAACGTTTCACCGTACAAACATGACGTGAAGCCTTCATGGTCTGTAACACCCACTTTGTCTCCTTTGAGCCCAGACGGTCCTTTCACTCCGACGTGGCCCTTCTCTCCTTTGGGCCCTGAAGGCCCCGGACCCCCACGTGGCCCCTCCGGTCCACTCTGACCGACCTCCCCGAGAGGCCCAGGACGACCCTGAAGGACCGGACGTGTGATCAACACAAAGTTATTTCCACAGACTTCCACAGAGTCTCTGACCAAAGTTAAAACGAGCACAGTTTTATTCAAACAGCCCAAAATCACAAATCAGAGAAAAATCCGAATGTGTGACCATCTTAGATTTATAGAAAAGCGTTTTGTCAGAATCTGCCTCTTAAAGCTGCTTCATCTTGATCTAAGAGAGAAACTGGAGCTTCGAAACAGCTCAGAAAAATTAAAATAAATCTTTAGTTCACTCTCGTTATCATCCATCCATTATCTATACATATACATATATCTTAATCCTCACTAGGGTCGCGGAGGAGCTGGAGCCTCTCGTTATCATTCACACGTTTAATTTATGGTTTATAAAACACATCTACAATCATGTACGCAGAAAGAAGGTGTTTAAAAAATAAGCCAAATATTTTAAAGATGGATATTTACGACTTCTGATCCTGTTTATATTCAGTCCTTCAGATACGATAGAAGAGTTCATAGGTGCTGTGCTCTCCTGGGTTTTCCTGTTTTGTACTTTAAAACACTTTCTATTCGTAGAAAAAGTGGTGAAATAAAGTCTGACTGACTGATAAATATACTGAAATAAAGATTCAATTATATATCAAATATGATTTCTAATGAGAAGTTAGAACAAGCTGCATTAAAAAACACTTTAAAATGTCCCAACGTTCACATTCAGTGACATCATAATGTTAGTGCACACGAAGGAAAAGTGTTTCTATTCAAACATGTCAATGAATGTTCCTCTAAAGAGGTTATAATAATAATAAAGTTTTGGAGGTCCGAGCAGACAGCCTTTCATAACTCATGTTAATCATTCATGAGAATAGAATATTTATATCAGGTTGTCTGGGTGTAAACGACCAAACTGTCGCTGTACATCTTCTGGTTTTATCCACGTTTATTAAGTCTTGTGTTATAAGCTTGAGAATAAATGAGTGAAAAGAGCCAAATCCAAACAGCTTTATGGTAAAGCTTCATATTTGTGGCCCACTGAAGATGAACGTTCTAGCAGGACCCAAACATTGGTTATTAAATTATTACTTGAACAATATTTTTAGCTTTAGAGGAATTAAAGTGTTTGTGCGTGTGGCCACATGTGTCGGCATCTGGCTCGACGTGCATGAAGCGTGGCCTTTACCAAAGACTGTAATCATCATTAGGAGCTTTTGCCTCCAACTTGGCGAAGATTCAGTCATCAGATGACACATGTAAGCCTTTGGCAAGTCTCATTAGCAGCTTTACCTGATGTCTGCGCAGAGCGTTTTTTTATTTCTGCATCATTCTTTCCATCCTCTCATCAATTACACACCATCATCGAGCTGAAAGGGGACTTTTGGCGCTGAGGAAACAAGTCATCTTGTCTTTGTGTTTGGATTTGACGAGTGTGTTTACATGAGACGAGAACAAGTCGAGACGGAAAACCCAGCTGTGTTTTCCTTTTTTCTCTCTCACACGAGGAGGGATGGTAGCATGTGAGTGTGTGCATCATAATCCCACATCTCAGCGGGATGGTGAGGAGCTTTATGTGGGCATGTAGCGGCACGACGGACACACTGCTGCTGCTGATCCACGATCAGTCTGCAAATCACAGGAAAGTCAGCTTTCTACAGACAAACTTATAATAATGCTTTTAAAAGGTAACACATTCAGGGATATTTAGGAGGAAAAAAATAGCTTTAAATGCTTTTATTTTCTTTGCAAATGTGCTTTCAGATGAGTCTGCACTGGCCAACATCAACCACAAGGTGGCAGCATAGAAACAAGGATGATCAGCTGCAGGAATCCGTCTCTCAGTCAGTGAGGCAACACACACATTCACAGGACACCTTGGTCTGCTGACAGCCTGCCATTAGCTCATATTTTAGGCAGTATAACAGGGTAAGGAGAGACGGGACGGATGGAGGGACAGATGTTTGTGCTCGGGTCAAAGGAAAGTCAGAGGACTTGATTTCAGAGCTATAAAGTGACTCAGACAGTCTGAAATCTGCTTTGTTATTACCATTATTTCTATTTATTGCTGCTGCAAAATCACAGCGTGCAGTCTGATTCAAACCCGTTTCACTGACATGCAAACAGAAGAGTCGGATTAAATGTGAGGATACGAGCATATTAGCTCATAAATTCATTAATAACGACATCACACAGCAGTAAAGCTCACTTGTAAACCAGTGCTGCAGATGTTCATTTACAAGACACTTACACACACATTTATGGAGCCGACATGCATGTAAATCCCTGCATGTATGCACATGTGCACATACTCCTGTTTCTAGCACCTCGTTCTTACTTTGAATTAAAATCAAACTTACAGCAGCCTGATTCAGCGACAATCAAAAGGTACAATATGAAGTGTTGAGTTTCTACCCAAGCAGCAGAAATGTATACACACACACACACACACACACACACACACCAGTCGGCTATATGCACACGCACAACAGTCGCACACCTTTAATTACACACAAGCCTCACACATCCCTCTATTATTTCCACACACACACACACGCAGACACACAAATACAAAAAGGAAGGTAATTTTCTCCTCCACACCTGGTCCTCTTCATATATACCTGCTCTGCCTGCAGACACAAAACCATTTCACCAAACCAGATCTGAGCGAAATAACAAATAGGAGGTCAGATCCAGGACCAGGTAGGAGCAACCTGCAGCATCTGCTGTCGCCTGCAGGCACAACCAGACGGGTGGAGTTTATGGCATCCGGACAATTTAGATAAAGACTGACAATCACGCAAAATATACAGCGCCGACTCCTAAATTCCATCTCATGACTGTCTAAACTTTATGTTTTATCCTATGTGGAAAACCACAGCTGTTGAAGTGATCATAAAATGGATCATGTTCGTGTACGTGCTTAATCTGTAATGTAAGAGGTTCCAACAACAACAGCTATCCGCCACACAAACAAATAAAATCACAAACATGTACGCGAGGCATGAAGTCAGTCATCGAATCCGCTGCTCTGAGACACAATAAAATGACTCATGCGCTGCACGCAAACGTCACGTTTACCAGCTGCTGCTAACTGTGGAACCTAAAAATACAAACTACAGTTTTAGAATTTAAAATTTTGGAAAACAGACTTCATTTGTAGTGCACTGATACCAAAGTGGCATCAAACCTGTTCTCTGGAACGTCAAATTATCGCTTTAAGGCCATTTTTGTTCAAAGGAATTCAAAGCATTTGCACTTTTAGAGGTTAGAATTTAGCATCAACCCTGTTTGAGCATTGATAGCAGCGGGACTAAGTCATGCTGTTCCACGTCATCCACCAAACAAATGCTTCAAACAGATCCTTGTTTAGAGTGTGGGAGGAGATCCTGCTTCATTATTTGTAATAATTTGTTGATGCTTTCACACAAGTTCTAAACTCTCCAGAAACCCTGCGCTGTTCTCGACACACCTCAGGAGTAATTACACCGACACTGTGCTGCGGTCCGACCTGCAACCAGCTGCTATATTGTGTAAAAAGTGCAAAGTCGCAGCTCTTCAGGACGTCCACCAGAGCCCCGTCTGCAGCAGACCTACAGGTACGCATTGGCCTATGAACAGAACCACTGCCACATGAACAGAACCAGAACTGCTCCACGTACATAACTTTATGTCTTTGGCTGCATTCACACATCTGCGCTGGTCTTCCAGAGTGACACAGATCCCGGCTCGGCCTTCATCGCGCTGAGGCGTCTGAGGCTGCTTCCAGCCCACGTGGCCTCGGGGCAGCAGCTCGCTGTAATGACAGGGCTGTGCCAGGTAAAGGCAGCCTGCCGGAGCTGTCTGGCCCACGGTTCACACTCACACCTGGTTTCACCTACAGAAAATATGCAGGGGTCCCACAGGGAGCCACTTTCTCTCACGCCTCGCCTTCCCTCTGTCTCGCTCCCCGTCACTCATCCCTCTCAGCTGTACTTCCACCTTTGAATGCATCAGATTTCTCTCTCCGGTCCATCTTCCTCGTTCGTCCCAGTTAAAGCACCTATAAATACCTAAACTATCTTCCAGCAGCTTGCTCAAGACTCTCGGTTCTCCAGCGGGTCGAGGGGTCACGTTGCCAAAAGGCTCCGGCGTCCTTCTAGTATCTACTCTTCAGGTCACAGGTCACTTTCAAAGCCTCGGCCGGGTTTTCTGTCTGTCTGGTGTTAAACAAAAGGTGAGAGGTGAAGGGTTGGTTCAGGTGAGGAGATGGTTTGGTCTCAGTGTCCAGGATGCACTGAACAAAGCTTCTGCTGTTCCCCGGGGCTCTAATCACAGCTAACCCTGGATGCACGGATACAAAGGGACTCTCACAGCTGGTGGAACGCTAACACATGCAGGAGACGGCTTCTAAACTGCAACCTGCTCGGCTCGCTGGAGCTCCTGAGGAAGGGAGCCGAGTTTCTGAGGGTTTATGGCAGCTCTGTTTATTCCCTAACATGGCATGGAATTAAAAAAAAAAAAAAAAAAAAAGCAGTGTGCAGAAGAGAAGAAGATCACAGAGCGAGGAGATTAAAGGGAGGACATGAAAGGGAACGTACAGGAGGGAAACGCAGGAGACCAATAAAGACCAAATAAGAGCACTGTTAAATGACATCAAGACCGTTTGATTGGGCTCAGCTCTGAAAATCACCACTAGGGGGAGATCTTCCATGCAGGTTCTCTGCAAATGTCAAGACTGAAAGTATGTTGAGGAGCATTTCAGTAGGTTAAAGGGAAATTCTTTGTATTGCAACAGGTTCATTTTTATATTAAAACTGTTTCTACACGTCAGTATGAAGAAGAGCATCCGTTTTCCTAATATTTTTATCAGCTGTTTTCCCTGTTTTAGTCTGCACCAATTGTTTTCTCCCACTGGAGAGCACAGGACCAAGAACCAGCACCACGGCTCCCACATAAAGTTTTTATATCCAACATGTGAACCAGTTTTAATTCAGAATATTTTTAGCTTGCTTCAAGGAAAACACTTTAATTACCATAAATAT